ATTGCATAATGTTTTAAAGTTGATGTGTGGTGTAGTGGATAGGGGGAGAAGAGGGGGCCATGATTTTGTATACAGGGGTTCATTTGGGGACAGAATGTTATGAGCAGTTCTAGAGGGTCATTTAAATGACCCAGACTCATTTTGAAATGACTAAAAACAATGTTTGAGACTGATTTCACTTTAAAATTACATGATCTGTAGACACAAACTCAAGTTTCATGTTGTGCCTGAAAGTATTTATTCAATTATCCTGATTACAATGTCATTTATTCACATGTTTTCTTATATAAAAAAAATCCATATTGAAAATTTTTATTCTTATGTTAGGATTTAATACATGTTTGCATTTCGCATTTCAAAATGTGCATAGAAACATTGCTACTGATTTACTTTTAGTTAGTTTGGTTCTATTTTGTAATGTGTTTTAGTAATTTTTTCCTCATTTATGTTCATTGTTATTTCTGTTTTAAAAATTTTAATTACAGCGTTTTGGTGAAAGGATAGTTTTGTATTTTACAATGTCAGAAATATGAAGCATCAATCTGATACTAAGTATTGCTATCAGGCAGATTTAGATGTTTTTTGTCAGATGGGACCATCTCATACCCAACACAATGATTTACAGTTGTTACAGATTTTTTTAAAATACATATTTACATACTATAATTAAAGCAATATAAAATGTATAGATATTCAAAACTGAGCTAAAGAAAGCAAACTAAATCAAAGAAGTGATTTGAATCTACTGTATTTGGTGTAAATGAACCATGGGATCTTAATCTCTGTAGTACCTGCTCCTAGAATTTATTTTTAAACTTTTCCTTTAAGAACCACTGACCTTCCAGATGAAAGTGCAACATCTTTTAAAGCCATCAACAGGCTCTCTCCCTCGACATAGGCAAATGATAAATTAATGCATCCTGGTGGAGAAAAAAGTTTAAAAGTTTCAGAATATAAACAACTCTTCTTGTAAATAAAAAAACAAGAACAACAACTGACAACTGGGACGAGAAGTCTCACCTGGATACCTCTGATCTGGATCTCCATTCATCACAACATCAGGAATCTCTGACATGATCTTCTGCACAAGGCGATTTGCTAGCAAAGACACACGCTTGTGGTCATACTGGAAAAAACAGGAAAAAGTTGCCCCTATTATGCTATTTTTATTTGATTTAAATATAGAAGGCACTACACTAGCAATGTTATATAGGCATTAATGGGGTGTGTATATATACTTTACTTGGTAGAGTTCATGTATGAAGAAAGTCTGGAAGTATATACTTTGTAATATATACATATTTCTAATTTTTCTCATACAATTAAACAAATTCTAAAAATATTGAACTTAAATGTTTTTAAATTTGATTTTAATAATTTAATAGTAAAAACGTTTTGTTTATTACTAACTATAAAGAATAAGAAATACACACACACACACACACATACACACACGAAAAAAACATTAACCAAATTGAGCACTTTTTGTTTAGCTCTACCTCTAACTCTTGCTGGGCAATTTCACAGGCAGCTCCGAGACCTACAGCCAGAGGTGTGGGCACAGTTCCTGAACGCAGACCCCTCTCCTGACCCCCTCCACTCTGCAAAGGCTCCAAACGAACTCTGGGTCTCCTCCTCACAAACAAAGCACCAACTCCTAAAAAGCATAAGGACTTCTTCATATATCCTGGATAAAGTAAGCAGCGTTGATTTATCTGTACAGTGCTCTACCTTTAGGCCCATAGATCTTATGAGCACTGATGGACATCAGATCCACTTTCCAGTCAGTGACATCAACAGGAATCTTTCCGACAGCCTGAGCAGCATCAGTGTGGAAAAACACATTTTTGGACCTGCACAGATGACCTGAAAACAAAAACATTTATGATGTAGCTAAAAAAGACAATTGATAAATATAGGTGTAAAGAATAATGTTGATGATAAAGGTTACCTATTTCTTTAACTGGCTGTTTGACACCAATCTCATTGTTGATGGCCATTATGGACACCAGGCTTGTATCAGGACGGATTGTGTCCTCTAATTGCTAATAATATAGGAGAAAGAGAGTGGCTTGTAAACATTAAAACAAAGATTTAATAGGTTTCATTTATGTACATTAGAACATGTACTGTTTAATTATGACAAATGTTTATCGTATTTTATTACATTTACTTAGTATATCAATGATTTTCTTTAAAAATGTATAGAATCCTAATATTTACATAAAATCTGTTATACTGAAAGACAGTTTTTGACCAATATTTTGATATTTTGTTTTCACAATTTACTTGAAACATTGAAGAAAACATGCTTTGCAAGCAGATTTTATTTATACATGTCTTACAATGTTAAAAAAAGTAATCAAATTCAATCAGTTATTTTAATTAGCATATTTTGCTTATATGATCGACCTTATGAACTATTAAAAAATATCTCAATATATGTTCTTTTCAGAAAAAAAATCTCATATAAACTGAGGGTTTGAAACTTGTTTTCAAAAGCAATATAAAAGTAATTGCTGATGTGAGTGATGCAAAAATCATAAAGATCTTACCTTCAGATCAATAAGCCCATTGCTTTTCACAGGTAAATACGTTATATCAAAACCCTCAGTTTCCAAAACCCGGCAGGAGTCCAGCACACACTTATGCTCAATTTGGGTGGTAATGATGTGCATTTTCTTAGCCTTATAAAACCGAGCAACACCCTAAAAATATGAAAAACAGTCAAAGATGTTTGATTATTCTTTGTAATATTCTGAAGTTCCCCTATTTGTCTATTTTTAAAAATGCTGAGTCATTTGTGTTCCAACGTTCCACTTCCTAATCCTAATCTTGCCTCACAGTGACATACTTACCTTGATTGACATATTGTTGGACTCAGTCGCACCACTGGTGAACACAATCTCCCTCGGGTCGGCACCAATAAGACCTGCTACTTGCTGAAGAGGAAATAATAAACAATGGCTTAACAGTAAACAGTACATTTTTGGCTTGACCAAAACATTACGCTTTGACTTGAAAATAAAGCTCCCATATTTCCAAATCAAGAAAACTATTATTTTCAAATAAAACAAGCAGTCATCTAAACATACTTTTCTTGCTTTTTCCATTGCGCTCTCGCTCTCCCATCCATAGGCATGAGTCCTGGAATGTGGGTTGCCATAATAGTTCACTTGATAGGGAAGCATGGCATCCAAAACCCTCGGGTCCTGTTGAGTCAGATATAAACAACATTGTTCATTAGAAACAATGACATGTAAACATCCCAGAAAATGTCTCATCATGTATTAGATTCATGAGTTTGATAAGTTCATTAATCTAGGATGACAAAAGCAGAGGGTACCATTGGTGTGGTGGCCTGAAAGTCCATATAAAGTGGTCTCAGCTCATCCTTCTCCAGTTCCCTACTTTTGATCAACTCTGTGGAGACAGACAGGTATGTTTGATTGAGGTAAAGTTTGTTTTATATTCGCACATTCGGTCATTTACCCTAATAATATCATTTCAGAAAAGTATTATAAGCAAATTCTACATAAGGACATGATTTTAGCAGTCAATGACTATCAAAGTACAACATTGTTCAATCAATGAAATATTGCTAATGTTGTTTTGAAGTCATACTTAAATGCGATTTTATACCAAATATTCAAAGTAGCGTGGTAAACAATATAGGGGCCCTTAAAATGAACGAATGTGCCAATATAAAACCAACTTAACCTCAATGTATGTTTGTGATTACAAGTTATTATGTACTACATGGTGAATAAATGCAGATGTGCAAGAAAGTTAACGTTAGGATTTTATTTACATTCAAGTGTGCTAATATACATGCTAGCAAAGGCTCCAAATACTCATGCTAAATTCTGCGACGTCACTGTTAAGTCTCTACATTAGAAATCGAAATGTAATAAAACTGTAACTGTTACCTTTCTGCTTTTGCACAGTGTTGGCAGCGCTTTGAGCGAAGTTTAGTCGAGGGCTGTTGGAGATCCCACACATGGAGCCCAGAAGTTTTCTCGATATAGTCCTGTTCATCATGTTTAGCGGTTAAAGTGTTCACAACACAAACAGTGGCGGTTATATCAAATGTATTTTATTCGTTTACAAACAAGCCCGTCAGATAAATAACTATTTTTGGGGCAACTTCAGAAACGACAACATGCCCACTTTCGCCAGTGAACAGTATGTCATCTGCCCTCATAACACTCGGCAATGCTTACAAAAGTGGGGCGGGACATCTAAAACTGCTGTTCTTATTGGTCAGCTGTCTCTGCTGTAGGTGGGTGTTTATGAGGTTTTAGGGAGTCTATTGGATGAAAACGAAACCTGGGCTGTTTCTTCAACCGGAAGTTGTGAATAAGGACCAATGAAGTGATTTATCTGTTTGCCTACAGTTCCTCTGTCCTTGGCAATGTTTATGTCAGGTTTATGTAATTTATATCCACTGCATTTTATAGAAATCAGCATTGTTTTATTAAAGTCAGCTTTAGTGTTAAGTGTCGTATCTTTCGCCTGGTTTATTTAAAAAGTGCGGTTTAAATATGTTTAAAAGTGGTGCTATTAAAATGAAACTTCAATTTGAAGTAAAAGTGTAATTTCACCAGCATTTTAAAATAAGAATTAAAAAAAAGAAAAGAAAATTATGGCATATAAAAAAGGTCGATGAAAAAAAGTATTTTTTTTATTAAAATGTATTGTATTTGTAATAATTTGTATAAACCATAACCACAAATGAACTAATTTTGCCACACAAACTATTGTTTAAGTAATGTATTGTAGTAAAATAATGATAATACCAACAACAAAAGGTAATCCAGTTACTAAAAAAATTACATAATAAAATTAGAAGTTGTTTTTAAGGACTGATAAATGATACACTAGATCTTAATTTCGACTTATGTCATTTCTGGCACGAGCAGCAAAAGAACTGCGAGTGCACGGGGTCGGCGCGCTCCCGCTGTTAACTATATGAATAGCGCGGACTTTGTACTTTCTCATTTCTTGAAATTCAGATTAAAACAACGTGTGAGGATGAGGAAGTAGGCCTATGAAATATACAAAATCCGGAAGAATATTTATTTGTTCTAACACACGTAAAGGTATCCAGTTGCATTTATATCTCTATATTTGTATTTGATGTTAAGAACTGAACAGCTGCACCTCCATTTAATAATACTGTAGTCGGCTTGTACTTTGTGGCTAAACTGTTCTGATTTAGTCACTGACATGTATATATTCAGTATCATTTTTTTAAACAGTAGCCTAAATTTAGAGTGCTTACATTAATTTGTACATTTACAGGTGCAGCTCCATCCAAAACATAAATGTCTCCAACTTCATTGAAGCACCTCAGACATCAGATGTCACTACAAAGATGGAGAGCAGCAACAGACGCCTGTTTGACTCTGAACAGAGGTCAGTTCCACACAAAATCTACAATCTACAAGCCAGTCTGTGAAAATCCACTAATAATCAAAAACTCCAGAAGAAAATACAGCGTCAAGGCAAATCAGATGTCACTCTCACAAATAAACCACACTTTAAAGGCCAGTGAATACAGTTTAAAAGTAAATGCTTATAATGGGTGTGTAAAAGGGTTTGACAGCAATATATTACCATCAAACTCTCCAAGCGAAGACAGACGGAGTGCTGCAACATGTCTACAGAACCGTGGTATGCTCTTCGGGGTCTTCGATGGTCATGCAGGGTCTGCTTGTGCACAAGCTGTTAGTGAACGCCTGTTTTACTACATAGCCTTGTCTTTGCTTCCATTGAGGACTTTAATGGAGATAGAGGCGGCTGTGGAGAGTAACCGGCCTGTGCTTCCAGTGCTACAGTGGCACAAACATCCCAATGACTACCAGAGCACAGATTCTGGCAAACTTTACTTCAGTAGTCTGAGGACATACTGGCAGGAGAGAATAGATCTTCAAGAGAATGAGGATTGTGATACACAAGGAGCTTTTAGAAATGCTTTCAAGAGATTGGATAATGATATTTCTTTGGAGGCCCAAGTGGATATTGGGGTTCCTTTAGCTCATTTCACCCCTCTAAGAGTGGCTCTATCTGGATGTACAGCTTGTGTGGCTTATGTGGATCAAGATGATCTTTATATTGCCAATCTTGGTGATAGTAGAGCAGTTCTCGGGGTCCAACAGGGTGATGGGAGTTGGTCTGCTTTTACCATTACAAATGACCACAATGCCCAAAACCCAAATGAGATGAAACGTGTTCTGTCAGAGCATCCAGCTTGTGAGCAGAAGACAGTGGTGAAACACGACAGGCTATTAGGCCTGTTGATTCCTTTCAGGGCTTTTGGAGATATGAAGTTTAAGTGGAACAGTGAGCTCTTGAATCGCATCTACGAGGCACGGCCCGAGCTGCTGATTGGCAATGAAAATGCAAAAATGCTGCCAGCAAACTACCACACACCTCCTTACCTCACTGCAGAGCCTGAAATCACTTATCACAAACTGCGACCTCAAGACAAGTTCTTGATTCTGGCTACTGATGGACTCTGGGAGTTGATGCACAGGCAGACCGTTGTGCAGGTATTAGGAGAACACTTGTCTGGGATTGAGTGGAAGAAACCGGTTTCTGGGATGTATTTCACGGTGGGACAGATGCACAGACTGCTGCGGGAGAGGAAGAGAAGAGCTCTTTCTGCTCGGGAGGATGAGAACAGTGCTACTCATCTGATTCGTCACGCTCTGGGCAGCGATGGTTCCGGCACCATTGAACTCGATCGCATTGCCAAAATGCTCTGTCTCCCACAGGATTTGGTAAGAATGTACAGAGATGATATAACAATTATAGTGATCCACTTTAATAGTTCTTCTTGAAACTTAACTTTTTTGAGATGTAAACAAAAAAGGGCATTTTGCAGATTTAAAATATTTTTTTGCATAAAGGTTTTACAAAATACATACTTGATAATTAACTTAATCACCTTCTTGTGTACTTTTTCTTAGCAAAAAACAGTTCTATAAAAAAGATTTACCATGTTTTTTATTTTAGCAATAATCTGCCAGATTTATGACAGCACAAGTCTGAAATGTTATTGTTTTATGCTTAAAATGGTTTACAGGTTATAAGTTACCTCCACAAAAAAATCCTTCCTCAATTATGCTAACTGATTTCGATTTTAAAAAAGTAATCTATCCCACACACAGAGAGAACGAGAGGTTTAAACAATTTACTGTTCAGAAGAACCAGACATATTTCAGTTATCTCTGCTTTATTTGAAATGAACTTTTCATCAAGAACTTTACAAAAATCAAAATCTTGATTAGAAAAACAAGATGTTTCTAAACCTCGTGGTCTCTAAATGAACAAAAGATATTTGTCAGCCATTTAGTTCCCACAGCTCATAGAGCCAAAAAGTTGAATATGTTGACATTTGATCAAAATTGAAGAGTTTGAATCCAAGACTTACTTATACTGCGTTTCTGGTATTATTATACACTACCTCGAGTGATAAACATACCAATCAGATCTTTCACAGAGACAATAAATGTGGAAGAGAAAAACAAATATGTACCAACAATAAAAGATCAAGAAGCAAAATTCAATAAGTAGGCTGTACATAGGATTTTTTTTAACCACAGAACTTGTCCATGACCTGTAAGGACAGTATGCAAGTGAAACTTTACCTTACCACACCTGTGCCACAACTTGCAGAACTGTTATTATTGTCCAAAAGTTAAAAAGAGCAAGGCTGAAAAAGTGGAGTTGTACAGTGGTGATTGATCACCGACGACTGGGGATTAGAAGCTGTGTGGCCTGCACTGACTCTGGGAAAAGGTTGTGGTATGTAGGAAGCGGGACATAAGCTGCTGTGATCATTTTACCTGAAAATACAGAGATTAAACAATGAGACATGATAAATCAGATAAGACCATAAGGCATACTGTAATTATAGGCTAATAGATTAATGAAAAACTTAAGACAATCTGCATTGACAGTTGTTAATTACCTCCAAACCAGCGTCCATGTAGCGCACTGACTGCAGCCATGGCAGCAGGAATGGTGGGACACTTCACATAGACATTACCCTGATGAGAGAGTTAAGAATAACAAATTAAACACAAACTTCACGTTAATGACAGTAATTAAATGGCATAGCTTAAGGCTTCATACTTCAGCAGATTTCTTGTCCACATATATGTGTATGACTCCACCGTGTTTGTTGCACTCTTCAATGACATCATCCTGAATTTCGATTTCCCAACCATGATCATTTTCTCTACAAGAAAGCACCACAATTAATTTAGATATTAAATATGTACTTTAACAAATTTCTCAATGCAGATGACCTTAAGATTTTCTCCAACTTACGAGTTTGGATTGAACATGTTGGACAGCTGGAAACAGTGTGTTGCGATGGGTTGTGATGGTAAATTCAAGGCTTGGTTTGTTGGCACATTGATGTTAAAACTCAATCCAGGGTTCATAGCAGCTACAAAACAAGACAAACATTACATACAAGCTGCATCAACCTTAATAAATAACGAAATATTTAACAGCACATGCACTGAACCCCCCACTAACCAGTAGCTGCAGCCATGGCAACCATGGAGCCACTCATCTGAAGGGCCTGTTGTGCAGCGGGCGGGATCTGCAAACCAGTTCCTAAACAGATAGAAAAATTCTCTTTAGAGCCTCTGAAAATGACATAATCCACTTCCTAACAGCAGATCAGATGACCCATTCTTACCCTCAGCTAATCTGGCCATGAGTTGAAGTCTTCCTGTAGTCCCCAGATCAATACCGGTTCTTTCTAGCTCATCGTTGTCCAGGAAGGAGCTGGCGGTGGAGGCATCTGTGCGCTCCGTCACATGTCCCACTTTCATTGGTCTACCAGCCAACTCAAAGCCATTAAGCTGTTCCAGTGCCTTCTTTGCACATTCAGCATCAGAAAACTATGTGGAAAGAGGAAATCTATTAAGCGTTTGAAAACATGCATGCTTCTCTGGAGCTCATGAAACTACTTTGTCTTATGTGAAGAAATCTGCATCTTTTAGAAGAGGTTGGCCACAACTTACTGTGATAAAACCATATCCTTTAGATCGTCCTGTTTCACTGTCCATCATCAGTTGGATACTATCAATCTGTACGAGCAAGGAAAGATTCATGAATAATGTATCAATTCAAGGTGATAAAATAACAGTAAACACTATTTACTCTTCCAAATGGTTCAAAAATGCCTCGGAGCATGTCTTCTGTGATGTTGAAATGCAATGAGCCAACATAGAGCCTCATGGGTCCTGCGCTGCCCTTCTGCAAGTTATTGGCCAATGCAGCGGCTCTGTTCTTCTCAGCCTGGGGATAAAACATGTGCAATCAAAAAAAAAGTCACATCTAAAACCAAAGCATTTTTTGCATCTCCAGACACTGTTACCTGTGAAGCCTGGACAATGATTGGTACTCCAAGAAGCCTTTGTCCAGATAGACCAATTGCCAGGGGTACAGATGTGGAATCCACAAACTCAATGTAAGCAATTCCTTTGGATCTTCTGGAGTTTCGGTCAGAGATGATTCGCACATCTCGTACCTTAAAAGAAAAACATAATCAATTAGAATCCAAGCTTAGTGGGGAAACGGGTCAAAGTTGTCCAAAGTGAAACAAACAGACTTTTCCAACTGCAGAAAAGAATTCTTCTAGGTCTCGTGGCCGGATTCTGGCTGCCAGCTGCATACAGAACACTGTGCGAGCATCTCTTTCCTCAGGGGTGAGATTGTCAATGGGCTGTCTGTTAGCAAATGACAAAAATAAATGAATAAATATAACTAGAGATAACAATGGAGTAATTTTCAATGCTGAAATGATCTTACCTTACAGGGCTTCTATCTTTCTTGAAAGGACTTCGGCTTCTAGACCTTCTTCGACTGAAAGAGAATTTTTGTTAGCACTTTTGCAAAGAGTTTCCACATGTGATACATAGAAAAAGCAACTACCCACACACAACAAAAATAGTATAATAGAAACCTTAGTTTGATGGCAGGTGGTGGGCCAGTCTTCCCCCTGGGACCACCGTTAAATTTCAGGCCAGAACTGTGATTTAAAAACAAGGTTTTCAAGGTTTTTAATCTCAGTATCTATGACTAATTGCTCTACTGCTAGCGCTAAATATACACGCAAGCTTCAATGGGGAACAAGGATGAATGTTGTACACATTACAGCAAATGCCTTGTTTTGTGGGGGAGTCAACCCATCTCTGCTTATTCACTAATGATAACGAACAGGATAGACACTATACTCCTCTGCCTTCTTGGTAATATTCCCTGCAAGACATGCTCATACCCTCCATGGGCACCATGAGAACCTTTTACTTCAGGTTAAAGACTATGACATTCATGAAGTTGAATCAAATAATGAACTGGTGTGATGCAATTAAAATAAAACCAAACAGTAAAAAAAACATTTTGATTGGCCTAAACATGCATATTACATCATGAGTGCCATGTCTGAACTCTATGGACATTTGGCAAAGACTACAACCCAAAGCAAAAGTTGGTCACTTACAATGGAGCTCTGTAGCGACCGCCGCGCTCCCTGCTCCGAGAACGGCTGCGACGTCTCTCCTTGCTGCGGCTGCGCTTCCGGTCTCTGCTGCGGCTCCTCCTCCGGTCATGACTCTTTTTGCGCTCGCGACTCTTGCTTCTCTTCCTGTCCCGACTCCGGCTGCGACTTTTGCTCCTCTTTTTTCTTTTGATTGAAAAGTTGAGCGTCAATTTAGTAAAAGATTAAGCATATTGAAGGAAACTGCTATAAAAGTAGGAAAACTCACTTCTTGCTCCGCTCCTCGTGGCCATTGGTACTTAAGGACTTGTTGTCATCCTAAGCAGGGTCGATAGAAGACAGCATGAGGAGGACGGCGAAACATTTCAAGTCGTAAGGATAAAGAAGGGATGGGAACAAAAGAGAATATGATATGATCATTAAATAAGAGTTCATTACAGGGTTTGTGTGGGAGGACGACAAATACAAGGGGGACCTTTAGAAAGCAACCACAAGGCTGCCAATGTCGTTCTTCCTTACTTGTGCTTGCATTACTTGTGTGAAACGGCCAAACATTGCTAGTGCTATGCTGGGTATGTAAAGCAGCATTGATTTTTTTTTTAAAGACATCATTCATTAAGCAGCCCAACAGTTTCAGTACCAAGGCTATCTGAGCCTAAGACCCAAAGTGGCAACGCTAGCAGCCAGCCACTAAACGAGCTCCAGTGGTGGATGCCATTCCAGTGATCTTCACCCCATATGCCTTCGTGGATTGAAAGAGCTCGATGCCACCTCAGTCACACATCTCGCCCTGAAGCAAACAGGGATTCACACGGCTTAGTAATAGCGACTCCCACAGACCATCTAAAGTTGAGTTGATCTTTTGTTGTTGTTAAGAGGCTAGACGATTTACATGATAAATGTATTTTACAGTATCTTTATGACATTAAATGCTGAGCCCCATCATTCCCCGCTTGTAAAATCGCAAAATAACCATTAACAAGTATTTTTAAATGTCAGCAGCATGCATAACTAAAATATGACATATACATTTTATTATAAATAGTTAACCAAAAACACAAACCTGCTGTTAACTCAGTCACCCTCGGGCCATCCAAGATGTTGGTATCTTCTTTAGAATATAATTTTTTTACCTGAAGCTGTGGTCCTTAATGATTAAAAAAAAATTCAAGTCAACAGCTTCCGGCGCTTTTAGATGAATAAAAATATTCTTTAATCTTTAACAGAAGTAGGAAGAAAACTACACCTACATCTAGGATGGCATGTGTGTGTGAGAACAGCACATTTTTATTTTTAGGTGAACTACCCCTTTTATTTTGGTTTATTTTCAAATCCATGAATAACGAGACTCTGTGGATTTGCTTGGATACGTCAACTCCAGGATTTCTGCACTAAGATTATGACATTTTAGACCAATATATTTTCAGTGGATACCTCCCATATGTTTATACTATAAAACATGCAGCATTATTCTAGCCATTATGGAAGAAAAACTTCCTTGTAAAAGCTAAGAAAACCATGCATACAATAACAAATACAGTCTCCACAGAGTTTATACCAGATCTTTATGTTCATCCACTGCATTTATTCTGGCGGTACCTATGTATCAATTTTGCCTATGTATTTCAACCAAGGGTACCACAGTACATCAATATATTGGGCAATTACTACCTTCATTTTTTTGACAGTTCACACTGGAATTCATGGGAGTAGAGGTGAGATATAGGCAAGTCTACAAAAAGAGATAGATGGGCAATTTATTCATTGAAACCACTATCACAGAAACATTCAAGTTATTGATCTGACAATAAAGACTTAGAGAAAACACGACTGGTTAGCAGTTTCAAACCAAAGGTCTACAGATTATTAAGCACATTTATCAACTTGAACAAATACCCACCTTTTTATATGGAGCCTCGAGCATTGCTTCAATGTCCAAATCATCGGCCATGTTGTTGTTGTTGATCTGCAAACGAGGAAAATTGTGTTTTTACAGCTGTTTGAGTGTTAAACTTAATACATAAACAACATTTAACAGTATAGGATATTTAAATGAACCGTATCTCAAAATAGCCCCCAAACTGTACATTGCTGACTTCGCAGACACGCGTGACTGGACGGGGTCATAAAACGCACGCTTAACGTTAGCTTCCTGGCTAATTGTTTTTCTCATAGCCAGTCGATATCAAACCAGTTATTTGTCGTATTTTGAAATAGTTGGTGCATTACTAGCAAATATACCAAACATATGTGAACTGTTAGATGTTTTTTTGTCAACATTTAGGTAACGTTAGGGAATTTTAAAGCTTGCTTTGTTAGCTTGCGAGCTAACAGGCTGAAGTCGTCTCGTTATAGCAAACAAACGGAAAGTACCATCTTTAATATTGTAAATACAATGATAGGATTTCAATACATAACTTTTCCACACAACAACTACAATAATGTTTCTCCAAACAGCCACTAATAGTTGGCCCTTTCGCCTTACCTTAAAACGTTACACTGCGGCCTACAGAGCGTCACAGTCTTGGCTCCACAAACGAGCGGTAAATCCCGGATCTACGGTCCGTTTCAGCTACAGTTGCAACCCTGGTCGATTGATTCGAATCCACGCAAACCTAAAAAACACAATTATATTAAGCCAAAACTTTGTCGTTTCAATTGATACTAGTCACAATGTGTGCGTTGCGGTTATAAACGACGAACTGACTGGCGGCAAACAATCCCTGCGCGTGCACGTCTCGTCTTGTTGCATAAGAAGAGTAACGCGCGAGCCCAAGAGTCCAGCAGAGGGAGCTCGTGTTTAACACACTGAAAGCGGAAAAACGAACTGGAAACAGTAAATGGACACGCAGACGATACCCTTGATGGAAAAAAAACAACGACCCTTGATGATACCCCATTACCACACCCTGATACTTTCTTTCTTTTTTATTGAAGCATATAACTTATAAGCATACAGGGTTATGATGATCCATCATATTTAAATAATTTAGATTGTACAGCTTTTTTCCATTATTAGATATATTTTATAGCCTTCTTGTTTCTTCTAATTGAGGTCAAATAATTACAAAATATTTTAAAAAGTTTGCAGAAAAAATTAAGAGAGGGAGTAACAGACGTTACTTTTGCCCAAAGCTTTTTCCTTACATGTGTAACTTCGCGAGAAAAATATCAACTTCAACGCATTATCGAGTGTATCATAGCCAGTTTTACTATTCAAAAAACAGGGTGAAGAATTGTGCATTCATCAAAGTTAATTATTTTGTCAAATGAATCGAAAATCAACCCTGAAACCTGTTTCCAAAAATCATCAGAAACTTTACAAGTACAAAACAGATGTACAAGACTTTCAGGCTCATTGTTACAAACAGAACATTGTGGTCAAATGACTTTTTAAAATTTATTAGTAAACATATTACGGGAGTAAAAACATATAACTTGTTGACCAAAAATAACCTATAAAAGGTAAAGAAGACTGTTTCCATTTCAAAATTGCTTTCAGGAAACAACTACTATCTTGCATGAGACATTTTCTGAAATAGAAGTTATTACACAAGATACTGATACCGCCAAGTACAGTTTTTGGAATTTGCATTAAGACTGAATTATAAGATGGAGTTTCATTAAGTAAAGCAGTTTATTAGAGATGCTTTTCACTATCAAATTATAATCATTATGCAAAAAAACTGTCCCTGAAGAAGAAAGAATTTCCTGATAATAAATCTCACCACTGCTATTTAGTAAATCTGAAACAAAAATAATTCCCTTGTCAAACCAATCTTTTTTAAAATATACTTTTGTTTTTAGGCAACACATGTTGGTTTTTGCATAGAATGCACATATGTGGAGAAAAGTAGTTTAAAGGCAATTTTTCTTGCTTCAAATGATTGCTTATGAAAACCCTGATACTTTCTATTCTATTCATGCTTAGGGGAATGGTTTTACTATATTAAAACAAATTAACCACAGTTTATTATAGTTAAAGCATGTCAACCTGAGGCAGCATAGTGGCACAATGGTAGCACATTCGCAGCAAGTAGGTCGCTGGTTCAAGCTCCGGCGGGTTCAGTTGGCATTTCTGTGTAGAGTTGTTTTGGTAAGCACATTCACCAAAAATGAAGATTTACTCACCCTTTATTGAAGTGAAAGATATTTTGAAGAATGTTGGTGACTGCAGCCATTGACATCCACATTGAGTATTCATTCATTCATTTTCTTTTCGGCTTAGTCCCTTTATTAATCTGGGGTTGCCACAGCGGACTGAACCACCATTCAGCATATGCTTTACACCCTTCCAGCTGCAACCCAATTCACCTATACCACGTCAATGGACTGTGGGGGAAACCGGAGCACCTGGAGAAAACCCATGCGAACACGAGGGGAACATGCAAACTCCACACAGACATGCCAACTGACCTAGCTGGGCTCGAACCAGCAACCTTCTTGCGGTAAGGCGATTGTTCTACCCACAGTGCCACTGTGCTGCCCTCCATATTGAGCAATATGTAAATGAGTGAATAAATGTGAATATATATAAAAGTGAAAAAATATATACAGGTGTTGAAAGACACAGTTCAGCAAAAGTTTGACAAAGTTTGTAAAAATGTGTGCACAGTATGATCATTGGCTTGTCAAAATACACAATATTAATAATCTTTTAATTGTACTCTGCTTTTAATAAAATGTTATTAACATTATTAAAAACTAGTTCATTTTAACCTTTAATCAGAGGCGGACTTAGTGATTTGGGGCCCCTAAGCAATTCCATGTATCCCAAGCATTGAAACTCGAAACATTCTCTTTCTGTATAGATATTTACTTTTTTCTCTGTTGATTTGTTGTTGTTATTTTCTAAATAAACTGCAAGTTAAAAATATACTTTGTTAGCTCGCAAGCTAACGGCTAAAGTCATTTAAAGGAAACCACCCTCTTTTATTGTTGCATACAGTGATAGGATTTCAATACAATACTTTTCCACACAACAATTTTAAATTTACAAAATTGTTCCTCCAAGCAGTGCTTAATAGTTGGCCCTTTTCACCTTAACAGTTACCTTAAACGAGTGCAACCTACAGAACGTCAAAGTCTTGGCTCCACAAATGAGCGGTAAATCCCAGATCTACAGTCTGTTTCAGCTATTTGCAACCCTGGTCGATTAATTAGAATTCACGCAAACCTAAAAAACACAGTTATATTAATTCAAAACTTTGTCGTTTCAATTAATACTAGTAGTCACAATATGTACATTGCGGTTATAAATGACGAGCTGACTGGCGGGAAACAATCCCTGCAATAAACTGCAAGTTAAAAATATATTTTAAGTGGAACCTTTTAATTAAAAAAATCAAATACAACAAATTTACAAATAAAAAAAACAAGTTCACAAACTATTTATGTGTAAAGTTAAGCTATATTTGCGTTTAGATATTAATATTTGCATGTACAGTACGTAAGGAACGTTCCACTATGAGGGCTCCCAATTTTGAAAGGAAGTTATAACATTAAAATCTTAATAGTTATAGACAGATGTTACACCATATAATCAAAAATTATAAATGAGATATGATTAATTTAGGCAATTATTGGCCAGGGCCCCCTAGTTCCCCGCAGCTCTAATCCGCTGCTTACCTTGCTTATTGGTTAAGTCCACCCCTGCGATTAATATCTGTCAAGAGACATTAGATATAAGATACACAGAACACCAAGTGTCTGGGATAACGTGATCTTTAAAATCAAAAATCTGCAAAGGAAGTGTGGGGGTGCAAACAAAAAACAAACAATGAGAAGACCAAAAAAAAACTGAATCCCTATAGAACATTAAAACCAAAGAGAAATAAAACCGTGACCCTTTCCTCTCTCAGGCCTTCAGGTCAGTGTCACTCAACTGAGTATGGTTTCACACCATACCTCCGAGACCGCAGACAGTTGAACCAGAACAGCAAATAAATATACCATGAGAAGAATTCTTACACAGCGAAAACACAAAAACCTTTGATGAATTAACAAAATAATATGACCCCCACATTTTTCTTGGTTTAATCTCATTCTTTCCATTGACTCTGGCCACAGCTTGCTTGATGTTCTGCTGGCTGCCAACTTTCCGTAATTAGCTTTCTCTCTCTCAGTGAAGCAAAGTGCAGCCAAATGTAAATCTCTCCAGAGGCTTTCCACAGTACGAACATGACACACATCTGGTGGATGCCAGATTCTTGACACGTTACAAGAACCAGTCAGAGGGACCAGTGCAGGACCATTCGTCTTCCTGTATGCACTGCCACCTCCTTGGCCTTATTCACTTTTTCCATTCTGCTCTCCCTCTCTTTCCCTGTTGTGTTGTTCATTTTACTGCATGGCTCTGGTGAACAAGTTCCCTTTAATCTCGTGTCAGATGCTTAATGCAGTTATTTTTGGTATTTGTAGAAAACTTCCACTTGTTATGAAAGGCTTGCATGTGTTTCCACCGCAAACATACCTGCTGGGTATGGGCAGAAGTTAATTGTTGCTTTGTTAAACAGCCTATGAGATGAATCATAGTTCAAAGCAGTTTATAGAATGGCACATCTGAACTGAACATGGCACCAAATGTTGGTTAATTCTACACTGTAGAAAATGCTGAATTCCACGAAATTGATTTATGTTGAGAGAACATGAAAAAGTAAAGTAACCAAAGTTTTACAATTTTAAAGATTTTGTATGTAAGATTTTGACTCTTCAACAGCATAAAAATACCTTAATATGTTTGCAGATATTTAATAAACATGCCAAGTGAACATACTTGTTTATCTGAAAATCAATGCTAAAGTCAGCTATTTTGCTTTGAAAATGTGTTTTCCGTGCCAGAACGCTGTCTTTGTTTTGATTTTTTTAATCGGCCCAATGCCACTTTAGCCAATGATATTTCCGTATATTTAATTCATTCATTCAGAAAGGCTCTGAAAGCATGCGTCTGTGACTAAAATGAGCAGATTAAGTTCCACATGAGGTTATTGATTAGCAAATAATATAAAAAGATAGATAAGGTGAGCAAGTTAAATTGCAACCACGTGATGAACAACACGCTTTGTGATGAGATAAGCTGTGCTTAGCAATTTGGCTGTTTGTATGCTTGTAACAGATGAAACACGAAAGAAATTTAAATACAGCCATTCAGAAGCACAGAATATGCACTCACTCACAAAATAGTAAGGTTTATAGTCAGTTTAATACATATTTTTAATTTTATTTTCCAGGTCTGAGGTGAACTGTGGCATGGCAAGTCATGTAAAATGGCATTCAAACTCACATTTTTAGCAATTAACACTGAATAAAGCACATGAGGTTTACATAAGGTGATCATTGCCATAGTTTTCTGTTGTTCATCTGTAAAAATTTACCCACCTTTTTTCTTATGCACCAAGGTGCTTTGGATGGATTATTATGAAATAACTGCTGTTAAACTGTAATCAATGAGGTGTCATCATTTCCTTCACTGTTCATTCATTAAATAAAAACCCATCTTATTAAAATTAACCCCAAAAACTCAAAAAAGTCTTTCCATTACAATTTTAAAGATGTATATTAAATACTGTTCTTTAGAGAATATAAAGAGAAAACAAAAACACAGTAAACACAAAATGTCTTTGGCCAAGATATGATTGTGGTACTAATGTCATGTTAAAATACCAAACATAACATTATTGGTAATTCTATGGTTAATTCCACACTGTAAAAAATGCTGTGAAATTGAGAAGCATTTTCACAAATTGTGAAATTTATGTTGAGAGAACATAGTCCAAACCTATAGCTCTCACTCACTTTTCATTTCATTTCACATATATGGATTTTTTTGCAGTTAAACCTTATCATTTGGGATGATTTGTTTGAGTTCTTTTGAATGAAGGTCCCCAAAGCAGAAGTGCTTTAGTTGTAATTCTGTAACCGTCCAAGACAACAAAATCTGTTTATTTTGCGTGTGATCTGCATGTACATGTGTAGGCCGTATTAGCTGGGGGAAAGGTTGAGTGTGGAGAGGAGCATTCTTTCCATTACCCAGACCAAATCAATGCACTGAGCTCCAGCCAGGACGTCCCTCCCCCTCCCCCACTCTAGTAGTGACAAGGGGGCCAGTGGAAAGAGCTGACCCAGGCGCAGCACACACTGCCTGGCCTAATTGCACTTCTGGCCTCCTGCTTCAGTCCCTGGTGCTGAACAAAGGTCACCCCAGATCATGGCCTCCTTGTGTGGATTAAATACTAATAAGCAAGAAATGGGATTGTTGGATGTTAAAGAGTTAGTTCACCCAAAACTGAAAATACCAAAGCCATAGACCAAACACAAATTAAGACAAATAAGATGAAATTGAGAGGCCCTGACCTGATAAGAAACAAAGCAGTTTTTTAGTTTTTGGCACATAAAAGTGTTCTTGGAGCTTCATTTGATTACATTTGAACCATTAAAGTCACAGATAATGTTTTGACAATTTGCTTTTTGGTTTCTTTTCTGGACTTTTTCTGGATGTCTCAAGATTTTTGCTGTCTTTATAGGATGAGAGAGCACTATGAAAATTTGATTTTTGCTATGAAAATGAACAAAGGTCTCGGAAAGACATACATTTGGGATGAACTAACTGTTAAGTAGAGAGTTTATATTAAAAATATACATATACTCACCTTCATGTTGGGGCAACATGGTGGCACAGTGGGTAGCACAATCGCCTGACAGAAGGAAGGTTGCTGATTCAAGCCACAGCTGGGTCAGTTGGTTGTTCTGTGTGGAGTTTGCATGTTCGCCCCGTATTGGTGTGGGTTTCCTCCAGGTGCTCCAGTGTCCCCCACATGTCCAAAGATATGCACTATAAATTGTCTGTAGTAAATAAGTGTGTAGAGTTTTTCAGTAGCAGAAGGCGTCATAGTTGGGTGCAGTGAATGGGAGAGTACAACAAATAATTATTTTACAATTCTATTTGCTGAAATAAAAAAGAAAAACTCCACAATGGTGTTATCAAGACTTTCAGAAAAAGGAAAAACTAGTGTGTCGGCAACCAGAAGAGAGAATAACGTCAAATACTCTCAGCCCCATAAAAACTGCATAAGAAACACCTCGCATAATCGGAAATTAGTTTTTTGTAATTTGACGCAAAGATGATATAATACATTTATAAATGCATTTTAAAGTTCAAAAGTTTTTTTTTTATCAAAATGTTAAATACTTTCAAGGATTTAAGATGCAGATGACAGTTAAACATGTCATAACAGTCTTGTGAAAAGGGTTCATTGTTTCATTCTTTGAAATGGAACGCAGATGAAAAAAATGTTTTGTGAGGGCATGATGAAGGTCAATGGGGTGAAAACAACACTGGATCCCACTGATGTGAACCAAATAAATATGTTTATAAATGTTTTATAAAGAGTGATTAAAGTATATTATTTAATCTGTTATTTAACAGTTGTACACAGGGGCGACGCTGAGGGATTTGGGTGTTGGACAAAAGTGAATATGGGGGAGGGGTTGTTGGGAGGGTGGCCAGCACACGAAAGTGAAGAATGGCGGGGTGGGTACCTCTTAATTTACAGATGTTTTCCTATTTGTTAACAATTTGCTTTATGGGGCCTAAAAATATTTGAAAAATATTTAAAATGTACCACAAAAAGCTAACATTTCACATAACAAAGGCCAAATAATAAAATCCAGAATTATTTTGGAGGAACAAATTTGGTGATGTTTGGTATCTCTCAGTTCAATACCTTGAAATGGCTTCCATTTCTATTTTTTGTCTAACACAGAAGTAATAATGGCTTGAAATAAAATGAATAAAGTAGCTCTTTAAAGTGATGAAAACAGTGTTGTTTACACACCTTTGAGCGGTTTCAAACATCTATCTGATTCTATTGTTTGCTAAACATAAATATTTTAAAGAATGTTTACAACCAAATAGTTTCACAGAATTTTAGTTTGTATAATGGAGATCAAATATATGTTTAGCTACCATTTCTTCTAAGATTTTTATTGACTTTTCAGAAGTATTACAAGTTTTAAACTGTCAACAACCTAGCTTTCAATAAAAAAATCTTATTTTGCTGTAAAATTTAACATCTGTAGAGTGAGCAAAAAGCACATTGCTAAAAATAACACACTGTTATCATAATTTACTTTCTTTTAGTGTGTTTTCAGATGCTAATATTTCAAAACACCAGTCACGCCAATCACCTTATAACAACATTATCAATTTACATTGATTATTTTTTAGATGAAACAGCCATCATTCTGGAGATCAGATCAATATATCTCAAAGTTAAATTGCTGCTCTTTAGTTGAGTATGGATGATCAATAAGATGTAATGGATTTCAGTCACATTGCTATTACATTCAGAATATATTTGACCTTAAATCTAACCCATCCACTGAATACCCTGTAAAGAAATTAGCATTTGAGACAAGTAATCTGCTTTATAGCTTTAAAAGGAGCACTAAACTGTCATGAGACAAAGAGGGAATGACCGTGGCATTTCTGGACTGTTTCAGTGATTGGATTTCACTGATTGTTATAGAAAAGCCTATTGAGCCACTCAACCATATCTGAGAACAAGGACACTATGAGCGTATTCAGAATAGCATCCACTTAAAGCTGGATATCAGTGCAATTCTTTTTCAAATACTACTTGCGAGTTCAAGGTGAGGCCATGCAATATGATGAGCAAATATGAACAATGTATATTGTGCATAAAACTATTTAAAAGGAATCAAGAATGCCAGATTTGCAGCAATGAAATATGACCACTCTCATAATGAAAGACTCTGGGTGGTAAAAAAAAAAAACACTTCATTTGCAGATCAGGATTTAATAGAAAACATTGAAAGTTGTGTCTGCATTTATGCAAAACATAATTATATTTACATATTTCAAAGTCATTTATTATTTTACAAATTTTGGAAATAAATATTTACAAACCAACAACATTAAGTTGTACAAAAAGCATTTCCGCCTCTGGATCCAGTGCCAAAAGAAGTACACAAAATACATTTAACGTACAAAGAAAGCCTGTAAACCATTATTTTTGTTGCTATAATAGGTTTTTGCTAAAACATCTGACACCTTCATAATGTTTACTGACCAGCTTCGTTTACTGACCAACTATCTCATCCAAATAAACTTTAACAGGCTTATGGGGGATATTCACATGCCCTTTTTAAACGATGATTGACATGTCTATAATATTTTTTGCTTTATTAGACTAAACTTCTCGGAGGAAAAAATAACACTGCTTCAGCTGTCTTTAAACTTTTCCAGCAGGCAGTGCTTTTCTCATTGTAACTGTATACAAAATACTTTCTTTATTTTAAAGAAAACATCTAAACAACAGTGAATAATAAATATTGCTCATTAATTCGTTCTATTTATTCCCTATTCCATCTGATAAGGCAAACACTGATAAAATGTTCATAAAAAATAAAGTCCACTTAAAAGGTGATATACTGTTAAAAACGGTTTTGATCTATAGGACACATAACAGAGACCGATAACCCTTCAGTCTACAAGATAATCACTAAAAAGGTTGTAAATACTATAAGATTCAACATGAATGAATAAATAAACAATGAACCAAAAGCAAAAAAAGTGAATTAATGTCTCTGAAAAGCAAATCCTCTGTCGCCATCAGACCAGAAATGAGAAGAATGTGAGTGATCTGTGTCTTCACAGCACAGCGAGGTCATGGCAGGATTTAGAGCGCACTTTTAGGGCCATTTTTTTGTTGTTCTTGGCCACCAGTCGATCCAGGAAGCGTCTGGCCTTCTTTGTGATGCTCTCCTTTCGCTTGTAGACGGAGCGTCGGCGCTCATTGATCTCTTTGCTGTCTCGCCGTAGTCGGATCTGCCTCACAGTGCCCTCAAAGAGCTCGTGGACGTTGTGATGGAGGGAGGCTGAGGTTTCTATGAACTTGCAGTCGAACATCACTGCACAAGCTCGACCCTCTGCCACAGAAGACCAGCAATGTGAGAAACCATTTTCCTGACCCTGTCGTACTTGTTATATGCAGCTGACTAGGTTTTGAAGGTTTATGCATCTCTATAGCATGTCAAACGATTGGGAATTCATGGGTAAAATATACCACTGTTTAAAACATTTGGGGTCAGTAAGATATTGTCTTTATGACAAAAAAGACGTCAATTAAAATGTTGTTGCAGCTTAACAGTTATAACTGTTTATATTAGAAAATACTGGAAATGTAAATTATTTCTGTGTACTGTATATATTGGATGTCTAATGTATTGTCTCCGATGACAATATATAGTATATCATTTACTTTAGTAAAACAAACAAAAACATTGAATTATTAAGAATATTAGAAGTTAGAGTTAGAAGGCCATATAATTCAGGCAACAAAAGCAAATAATATGCCTGTATGGGCTTAAATATATTATATGATATAGTGACTAACAAATAAGAAAGGATGTCGTTTTGTGAGATAAAAAATTCAATTAATGGGTGTCATTCACTCAGCATGCAAACATATACATTTGTAACGGGTGTATGTATAAACAGTATTAATAGTGTTTTATGTCTTTGAGAATGACAAACTTGCTCAAGGACCTCGAGAAAGAGGCATACATTTGACAGGAGATGCTTAAAGGCATAGTATGTAATTTTCACCACTAGAGGGCATGTATTCACAACCAACAAAAACATAGATTGATGATGTGGGAAATCATGAGCTAAAGTCTTCTAAATGAATTATCATGGTAGTATGAAGCAAAAGGCTAAAAAAATGTTGAAAAGAAACAAGACTGCTGAAGAAATTTTTATGAGAGTGTGATGCAGCACAAAAGCGGCAGAGCTTTTAATATGCTAAAGATGACAGCATCTGGTTCTTCCACTTATGATCACTAGGGGAAGATGCAGATGAAGCGTCAAGCATGAGTGATTTACATGTTAAGTCAATGCAAAAATGCACAAATGATGCAGCACTAATGACGTGATTTGTTTGAAAGAAGAGGCATGAGAGTTGACCATTTTGCGCGTTTGATGCGATTAACATGCGTATCACTTAAATTATGAAATCTGTACTTCAGCTGACATTCGAGCCGGGTTAACCAATCATGATCTTGCTCTTGTAGGGGCATGATTATGACGTAGTGCCTGTTGTTGGTGTACTGAGGGGAAATCCTCTTGCCGATACCGGAAAAGAGTTCACCACCTGGGCTTGGCTCAGTCTGAAGCACTGCTGAAAGCCTCCATCATCCAGGAATAGTTTTTGGAGGAGTTGATGAACTCACAGAGCTGGGTTCATCTCTGAAAGGATCTAGTGGACTCAGACATGGCACCGAACGACTATACACTGTTTTTTAGCCTTCCTAAAGAACAGCTTTTATCTCAATAAAATCCATGTTAGCCCTTTAGCAACAAAGCTAGAGTCACTAGGCAGACAGAAGCCCTATTGTGAAGTGAATTTGACGTGCAAATGATGCAAGTAAACTCAAAATGTTCAAGCGTCAATTTACATGCAGATAGCATGATTTATTTGCACGTGCCGCATCTGGTGTGAACGCAGCATAAAGCCGGGACACACCAATTCAACGGTCGGCCATTGAGCTTTGTTGGGCCGTCATTCAGCATCAGTCCGGCTAGTTGGTTTGGTGTGCTCCACGCGTCGCCTCTCATCAGGTTAGCATCAGGTCGAGTTGACCTGATTCAGCATGTAGAATTGTCGCGGGCTGAAGAGATCAATCTGATTGGTTTTCAGTAGTGATTTAGAGGCAGATATCAAAAACTGAAGTGTAAATAATTCAAGTCAAGAAAAAACAAAGAAACAGAAGGTTTGTGTAGAAAGTGGCATGCTTTATGCAAATGACCCTATGTATGCAAACACATTTATAATACTCTAAATTCACTAACATTAGAATGTGCATAAAAACAAAATTGAGTGTGCATGTTTTGTGAATTAGGAATGAATTGGCAAAAAAAAAGAAAAAAAAAGAAGCTTGAATGTGCGTATAAATTTACATTATTAATGAATGAGACCCATTATTTATTTTCTTCGTTTTAAATAAATCCCCTTAAATAAATCAGTAGAGGTGAAAACGGGTATGTTTCTTGTTCATCTGTAACAATCTGATACCAATCTTAATGCAGTGTGTAAACAGCCCCAGAACACTCCTTTTTGTTCTTGAATTAATCAATCTTTTTAGTCAATAATTCTATTTAGTCAATGATCCATTTCTAATGACAGATGTTGTGTCTAAAATAGCATACTGCCCTATATATATATATATATATATATATATATATATATATATATATATATATATATATACAGTATATGACTATAGGTAAAACTGTATATGTATGTATGCATAAAGTAACATCAAGACAACATGGTGAATACATGATGTACAGATTATCTTTAATTCTGCATACATACATACATACATACATACATACTGTTTTTTAGTGGTTGTGAATATTTCTACATAATAATTACTACATAATCCAGAGAGTATGTTATTTTAGATGCTGCCAATTACCATAACTCATTGATGAACAGAAAGTAAAAAAAAAAATCTTTCATTTCTTTCTTTCTTTACTGACCCAAACTTCTGAAATGTTGGTGTTTAATATGTGAATCTGAGGATTTTATTTGTGAATGATATAAATTAGACGTGTTCTCACCTTCCACTGCCACCTCTCGAGAGCGCACTAAGTCACTTTTGTTGCCCACGAGGATGATGGGAATGTTTTCAGCCTGCCGTATACGCCGCAGCTGGATCCGTAACTCTGATGCACTTTCAAAGCTGCTGCGGTCAGTGATGGAGTAAACTATGATGTAAGCATTGCCCACCTGCATACAGTAATCCTGTAAGAACTTCTCATCATCCTCCTGTAACATCGAAAAAAAAAAAAAAAAAAAAAAAAACACAGTCCTCTCATTATCTGCTCATAGTCATTTTGTTAGAAACCTGTCACTTGAGTACATGGCATGGTTCAAAGTGAAGGATTATTTCTACTGGCCCAATCAGGCCAGTGGTTCCGACTTTTACTTGCCCTGTCAAAATTTTCACTTACCCCACCAAAAAAAAAAGTAGTTAATAACTAGTTCTTTGCCACGTTTTAAATATTGTGTCAAAAGGCAAACATAACTTCAGCATAAACAAAAAATGCTCAAATGGTAATTTCTGTCAATTTTCCTTGCGGATAAACAGCTCTCGCTAATATTTCAGCATGCTTTCACTTTTGTATTAGACATGAAACGCACATTTGCCGGTAGGAATGACATACCATCCTACTCATAATTCTCTCTTCATATAGCCATATATATGTGGTTATAACACAACCATAATACACTGTGATATTGCCTGGTTTGTTAGTTCATTGGATCGCTTTGCTTTCTTATTAAAATCAATCTTGGACTGATTGTAAACTGTTTTGGAAAGGATCTGAGCGTGATTCACATATGCCAAATGAACAACGCTAATTGGGCAAACAAGATCGGTTCCAAAACAAATGTCTAAGTGTGAAAGCATCCTGTTTGCACACAATTGACAGTCGCAGCCAAATAAAACTTTAGTGACAAGGCAGCACATGCCCGATCAGTCCACTAACAATCATGTCTACTGTCCTGAGCGTCCTGCATGCTGGCCCCGGGCCATCGGGCAGTCTTTATTGTTGAGCCCTGCATGGTAAATAGTTTTTTGTGTGTGTGTAAAAAATAGTTTACTGACATTTTTTTTATTACAATGTAAGTAAATGGATGCTTTATAAACAATTAATGAAAATGTTAAAAAGGTGTCTATTTCTTATAAGTTATGTTCTTTTGCACTCTCTAGAGATTAAAGAACTATGAACGCACTTTAATTGAAATTAAATTAAATTTAAATATTAAGCTATTTTGAACACTAATGAATTATGTTGTGATTACACTGTGAACATTAATAATCATCTAACCAAAATCAGTCAATCAATAAATAATCTTCTGAAATAAGTAACAGCCTTTAAAAATCCTGTTTAAATTGCTAAATATTTTATTTAATACATGTTTTTTCAACTGTGTGGAGTTTGCATGTTCTCCCCGTGTTCACTGTAAAAAAAATAAAAAAATAAGTCAGTTCAACAAAAAAAAAAACATAATCCTTTATTCCTTTTGCTTTTTCTTGTTCACTCATCTATTGAAAACATCAGCTGCACTGACCAACAATTATTTTTTCAGTAATACATAAAGCATTTAATTGGGTTAACATAAGATTATTAGTTTTCTGGAGAAGTGAACTACTCTGTAACAAAACTTTTAAGTTGTGCCAACTGAACATTTTTTATCTGCAGAACTGAAATGCCTGAAGTTAAGTGAAGAAAAAAAAAAACATAATCCTTATTTCCTTTTTCATGTGTACTCAACATTTTTGAAACATGTTTTTACCTTTAACTAATAGAACAGTAGAGAGTATGGACAGGAAAGCATGGTGAGAGGAGAGGGGGGAAAGATTGGCATAGGACCTTGAAGCGGGAATCGAACTCGGGTCACCATGATGGATTGGTATAGGACCTTGAGGCAGAAATAGACCTGGGGTAGAGTGCCATGTGTTAATGCACTAACCACTACACTATTGGTACCAATGTGTACTCACCTTTTGAAAACATCAGTTAGTACTAAGAAATAATACATTACCAAAATAAACAAACATAGTTCAATTGAAAAAACAGGAAGGCATGCTTCACATGTGAAGCATTACAAAGCAGTTTCCCCTGTTTGTCCTGCCATGTTTTGATTGTTTTCCCTCCTATCCTGTTTCTAATTCTGTGTCTTATAAATGTTTTTTTTAACATTTGACTCTGTTTTAGTATTTTTTTTTAATTGAACTATGTTTGTTTGTTCTGGTAATTTATTATTTCTTAGTACCAATTTCCACAAGAGTTTTTTTTGTACACTCAACTTCAGACATTTTAGGTCAGTGCAACTGATGTTTTAAAAGTTGAGTACATGTTGGCGCCAATGGTGTAGAGGTTAGTGCGTTGACACATGGCACTCCGGTGTTCATGGCAACCCCAGTACTATTTCTGCCTCAAGGTCCTATGCCAATCATTTCCCTCTCTCCTCTCGCCATGCTTTCCTGTCTATACTCTCTACTGTCCTATCAATTAAAGGAAAAAATAAAAGTTGAGTACTTGAGAAAAAAAAGTAAAAAAAAAAAGTGTTTTTTTTTTGTTTTGTTAACTTAACTTCAGACATTTCATTCCTGCAGACAAATATTTTTTGGCACAACTTTAAAAGTTGGTTACAGAGTAGTTCACCTCTCCAGAAAACTAATAATCTTATGTTAACCCAACTAAATGTTTTTTGTATTACTGACAAGTAATTGTATGTCAGTGCAGCTGATGCTTTCAAAAGTTGAGTGAACAAGAAAAAGTGAAAGGAAATAAGAATTATGTTTTCTTTTGTTTAACTGACTTATTTTTTTTTTTTACAGTGAACATGTAGGTTTCCTCCAGGTGCTCCATTTCCCCCCACCAGTCCAAAGACCTGCACTATAGGTGAATTGAATAAACTAAATTGTCTGTAGTTTGTGTGTGTGTGTATGTAAATGTTTTCCAGTACTGGTTTTCAGCTGAAAGAGCATCCGCTGTGTAAAACATATGCTGTATAAGTTGGCGGTTCATTCTGCTGCCGTGACCCCTGATAAATAAAGGGACTAAGCCAAAGGAAATTGAATGTTCTTTCAATTGTAGTAATATTTCCACAAAATTAATATTTCAATGTAATTTTAATCTAAAGAATTCAGCTTTGGCAAGATTGAAAAAAGTTCAGTACAAATGCTGCATATACATAATGTTACATATCGATTTTTTTCATTTATTTAGTTTAGCTAGTTACTTAGTAGTTTAGTGACTCAGTTTCACTTTCACAATTTCACTTTGCTTAACTTTTGTTGAGATCAAAAAATATTAAATTTTATTAATTTTATTTATTTATTATTCTATTTATTTATTTATTTATTTATTATTTTTAAACATTTTCATGGCCCTTTTTAATCTTAATTATATTGACAACACTGCCTGCATTCAAGAATTAAAGAGATTTGAAATGACAAGAGGGTGATTGAGCAATAACATTCAAATATTTAATAATGACTATAATAATGAGCTTTCACTGTCCTTTCAAACACTGAACGTACTAAAAAATAAAAAACAGGCAATTCAGTATCAAAATCACACATCAAGTAATGACTTGTGTCATTTTTTCCTCTAAACTTTAAGTCCAGAAATATTTATCTATCCAAACAATTCTTGAGTCCAGCCGGAGGTCAGAGAGGAGTGTTATTGATAGTGCTGTAATTAGGCCTCAGAGTAGTGAGTGTTTTTGTCTGTGTGGTCAGTGTGTGCCGCTTGCTCACTGCAGGGCACCGCTCGATGGTCTTTAGCCACCGGGAGTGACTGGCCACGTTTTTTCCACAGCACTGCACAAAGGGCATTGTGGCCCTCGAGGAGAGACTTGTCTATAAAGCACAGACTCACGGCTGGCAGAGACATGAAGTGTGAATGCCTTCAGAGTTCCTTTATTTACATTTGAGGATGTGCTGTAGGTTGGTTTTAGGGCTGCACGATATTGAAAAAATCTAACATTGCGATATTTTTATTGTGCAATATATATATTTTGATATTTTTTATTCTGCGATATATATTGCGACATGAATACAATTTTACAAGATGAGCTGAATAACAATTTGGAAAGAATATATAATTTTAGATTATTGGGATAATTCTGTAGTGGAGTGTGTAAAATATAATAAACAATCCACGAGCATAGATAAATTCAATAAAGAAAAAGATACAACTTAAACAGCGTTTTATTTTTTTCCAGGTATACAGTAATAAATAATCAAATGTAAAATAATACTGCATAGTCTTCGTTTTATAAACAATTAAAAAAATGTATTGTTGTTAATTTGTCAAAGTTACAACTGCTACAATTTCTTTTGCCTTAATACTTTTAAAACCCTCACACAATCAAAGGCCTCAAAAAACACTTCCGAAAATGATAAATTTTAATCCAGACTCAACACTGCATATACTTGCAATGTGACTATTGCGAATGATCACATTGTAATATCGATGCTGAAATGATGTACTGTATGTTGTAGCTTTTGTTGAGACTGTATGATGTTTGTGTACCTGTTTATCTGTTTCCCAAGGGTCCATCACAACTAGTGTTGTATCCTCTCCATCAACCATAAGAGTTCTTTCATATGCATCCTCTGTGAAAACATGACACGGGATAAATAACAAACAAACATACACAACTTAAAATGCATTTGAAAAACTTGTATATAACTGATTAAAATAGAGTATGTAAACAAGTCAATACGATACAATTATAGACCATTTAGAGGGATGTAAACAAAAACTATGGTCCTAAAGTATTTCCTGTATAACATTTTAAATTTCCATAGCTTCCAAGACTCCAAAAAGGTATATCGACCATATTGTTTTAACAATAAGATATGATATAATTGCCTTTTGTTAAAGTTCTGAAAATGTTTGGTAACAAGCAGGAAATATTTATGGGCCAGTGACACCGTCACCGCCACATTGAAATGGTCTATATAGGTCAAAGTTGATGTCCAACAGTTTCAATTTGCTAGAATTAACAAACTAAAATGACCAGCATTCTACCATTACTCTCCTCCCTACCTCTAATGCTGGAATGTTCCACAATTTGAGATATAGACCCTTTTCATAAGACTGTTGTGACGTGGTTAACATAGTAAATCTTTAAAGTTTTTAATATTTACATTTTTAAAAAAACCTATGTACTGGTGTATATGAATTTAAGCATGAATTATATCATCTTTGTATCAGGTGTTTCTAATGCAGAGTTTAAGTGTGGGACTAGTAAATTTGATGTTGTTCTCTCTTCTGGCTGCAGTCGCACAAATCCCCCCTCCCCCTTTTTTCCCTAAAAGTCTTGATAACACTACTGTTATGTTTTTCTTTCATTGTTTGAGCAAAAAGGATTGTAAAGAAAAAATGTGTTGTACTCCCCCACTAACTGTGCTCTAAGTTTACCCAACCCTTAAGTTTACTATGACGACTTCCGCTGCTGAGAAACCCAAAAAATGTGAAAAGGGTCCATTATGGCTTTTACTCTTTTCACCTATATTAAAGGTCCCATGAAATTAAAATAAGTTTTTTAGACGTTAGTATCAGTATTGTTTATTTTTAGGATATCTATAAACTAGTGTGCACCAAAACAGTGACAAAATTTGTGTTTAAAAAATCTGAAATTGATATAAACATGTAAAGCTTAGTTTGTCACTTCCACGTAAATAGATCAACAGCTTTATTTACGTCACCATATTCACCATAAACATCTCATGAAATCGTGACCAATCAAATGCTCTCTAGTATCTGGCATGCTCCGCCCTCTTCAGGACACTTCACATTTGATGCACTTGAGCTCAATCACTGGCAGAGCGGTGACAAAACAAAACTCTATTGGCTACTTTTAAAAAGGTGAGGAGCTACACTATGTTCCACTCTCTTTTCATGTTTCATTCTAAACTATTATATTTTAAATAAACTTATTGGTTATTCCTGACTAAAGGGTAAAACCTAGTGCCACAGTATCAGGATTTAAAATAAACAATTTTTGAATTAATTCATTATTTTTTAAGGCTGCAGTTTGATCCTTAAACATGTCTTTTAACATGTTATCAAATGATTCTGTGTGTGGTTGTGGTATATAACCTACTGTTAAAGTAAATTATATTTTGGTGTATTGTGTAAATTGTGGTAAGCATAATGATTGAAAAAAAGATAATCAAGCAGGACACATTTTCTAAAAGTTGTATTAAATACTTGTCAGTCTTTATCTTTGCCACATTATTACTTTTAAAAGCAAATATTTTCCCTTTCTTTATCACGAACACTTAAATATGGCACTGACACAACAGTTTAAAAAACAGGCTTTTGCTTCTAATAATGTGTTTGTGTGAGACAGATTTGAGCGGTGCTTTGTTAAAATCACAAGCGTGAAAAATGCATGTGAAGCGGAATAGTGGAAAACTCATTGAGCCGTGTCTGATAAACTGATCTCATAGCCAGTTTGACAAGAAGATAAAACACACTTTGCTCCAGTCTAGGTTGATGCTGACCTTGTCTCATTTTTCCACTTTAAATCTACTTTTCGAAACATCTACAAGATGTATAGCACTTAAAGACAAACTTGGCCATGACTTGAAACATGTGAATTCACGATAAAGAATAACAGTGTCCTTAATCAACTTCAGTGTTTCAAAACTTCATGTCTGTTAACATCTAAATATTAAGGCCAAACCTAGAATATAATCCAGACATGCACTACAGAAACAGAGCTGTCATCATTTCACTACACTGTGCATCTTGAAAGCAAGGTGCATTTAGTTAGTACTAGTCAGATTCGATATTTATTGTCAGTACAGTTACATTTTGAAACAACCAAAACAAACTATATAAAATATAGCACTAAAAAAAACAAGTGGAATGACCTGATTTTAGATTTTACAAATCCTGTGGGATAGAAATGGAATACTTGATTCTGATTGTTCAATCACAACATTCCAAGGCATTTTACTCCCACATATCAACCAGTAAAAATAACATCAGTTCATCCAGTTTACTATACATATATTAACCCAGGCTCATTCTATTTATTTACCCAATACACATTTCTGGAGAGAGCAAAATACATCCCAGGAGCTACGTTTTTTTGCAGTTTTTGTTTTCGCAAATACACCAGAGGCCGCTGTTGACTGACTGACCAACTGACCGATACCCCACCCTCCCCCTTCTCTAAACCCAACAAATAGTATTTTAAAAAGCACACTTTGACCCGCCCACCCCCGTCCCTAAACCAAACCGCAGTGTTTTAAAAAGGAAATCAACAAAAAGAAAAGCACTCGCCTGATTTTTCCACATTTTCTCCATTATTTACTTGTTTATTTCATTTTTTGCTGTTGTTTTTGTCTTACCTGCTTTCTTGAACCATTTTTCACCTGACTCAAACCACATTGTTACAGTCAACACTATTCAGCGTCTCAAGTCTGTCGATGTACATGTCAAGCTATCTGGACAAACTGGTAACAACGGGAAAGTCGTCTATATAAGGCAAGCGGTCAGCTGGTAAGCGCAAAAAGGAAGGGTGCCATACCGCCCCATATTGTTCACTTTAAAGATGAAATGCAGCCATACATAGCTCTGGCTACATAATTTGCGATCTCCAGAAACGTATATAGCACTATGTTTTCAGAATGAAATGGCCTATGATGCCATATACACACACAGTTAAGGCTGATTTATACATCTCACTGCCAATTAGCGTTTCGAAAGTGTTATTGCAGAGCAACACAAACAGCGCGCAGAGGTATAAATGCACCCCATCGTGCAAGGTATGTGCCATGGGTCACGCCAATGTATGGCAGATCATTTGACGCAGAAGCATAAACCAGGCTTAAGTTAGGGCAAGTTGCAGCTGTTTGATAATAATTCCTGTCTTTTGCAAGCTTTACATTTTATTAAAGATCTAATATATTATTACAGCTTAGATATAGGTTTTTTGTATTTATTAAAAATTTGGCAAGTAACATGCAATAATAATGTATAACAAGCTGATTCAGCCTTATACAACAGCAAATAAACTAATCATTACTTACTAATATAAAAAAACAATACATATTTAAGCTTAATCTGCAAATTCAGATTTATGTGATCAAGAATAATAAAAACATAATATGTACATACACTGCATCACAGTGGCTCTGTGGTCAGCACTGTCACCTCACAGCAAGAAAACCCTTGGTTCGAGTCCCGGCTGGGTCAGTTGGCATTTCTTTGTGAAGTTTGAAAGTTCTCCCCGTGTTGGTGTGGGTTTTCTTCGGGTGCTCCGGTTTCCCCACAGATCAAACACATGGGATAAAAGTTAATTGGGTAAGCTAAATTGGCCGTAGTGTATGTGTGTGAATGAGTGTATGGGTGTTTTCCAGTGCTGTGCTGCAATTAGAAGGATATCCGCCGTGTAAAACTTATGTTGAATAAGTTGGTGGTTCATTTCACTGTGGCAACCCCTGATGAATACAGGGACTAAGCCGAAGGAAAATGAAAGAATGAATGTGCATACACTACCCTTTAAAAAATGTTGGTCAATAATTAGTGTTTTCAAAAGAAATTATAAGTAAGATACTAATACTATTCAGCAAGCATGCATTAAGCTGTTAACTGAAGTGAAGTTATTTTAAACTCCCCTAATATTTCACAATATTCGTCTTTACAGCACTTGTGAAAATAAAATTAGCTTTTTTTTTTCAAAATCTGAAATATCATTAATTTTATGCATAAAAATGACCTGTAAAATTGGGTTCATTTTGTGTCACAGACATGTATTTTACTGATAAGCCTTCACTGATACTACAATCAATATACACACATCAGCCTGTCAATGACATGATTATTTACAGCATGATGTTGTGCTAAGGTCAAAGCCAAATCAGCCGAGAGATAAATATAAGGTCACACGCCACTAGACAATGAAAAAAAACATGTAGGTCAACAGACGCTCATCAGCTGCTTTCATAAAGGCGTTTTGCATAGTTCAGTGCATTAATGTGTGTCCTGAATTTTAAAGACATTTAAATGGTTAGGTTTATACGTGGGTCTCTGATGGACCAGTTTTGTGTCAGTTGAAACGGATTGTGTCTTACCCCTGGGACAACAAGAGATGGAGAGAACTGGACACATTGGAGATGCGACATTAAACCCAGTTATGTGCTGTCTTGTTATAAGTAACACACATTTTTAGAGAAAATGAAGTTAAATAGTTCGAGATTGATGGATTAAAAATGCAACTATAGTGCTGCTCACTTTAATTTCAGAGCTTAAAGGGTTAGTTCACTTGAAAATGCAAATTCTGTCATCATTTATTCACCCTCACATCATTCCAAACAAGACTTAATTCATGTTCATAACACAAACTAAAACTGAGAGATTACTGTACCTCCACTGAATGTCTGTTTAGTTAAAACATTCACTACATATGAATCAACAGGTGTTATCAAAGTCTTCTGAATAGTTATGACGATAATAAACGTGCTTTTTGACAGACAAACACTGATCAGATCATAAACAGAAGCTTGGACATACAATTATACATGCATGACATGTGAGAACAAATCTCACTGAATTGTACCTAAGCTCAACAGTACCATGTGACGCACAAGAACAATTCTCATTGGTTTTCACACATCAAGCAAGCACAATTGAGCTTTCCAATTTAAATGCTGCATGCAAATAAAAGCCTAAAATAAATGCTTAGCAAATGGTGATCGTGTCTCTTTAAATGCATACATTTTTTGATGTCTTTTTGACATGTCAAGTGTTTTGAGTTATCCAAATGTCTTCATCTTGCGGCTCTGGAATGACGTGGAGATTACCTTGTTAAAAATGATTTTGAATTGAAGTAAATTCTACAGCATTTCCACATTTAAAACATTTTAATTTAGTAATTTAGCAATGAAAAAATTGAGGTATATGTTAAATTGAGGTTTTGCTGTGTGTTCAAACTACCTATTTGAGCTGAAACAACACAAATCTTGAGATTTTTCGGGGGACATCCTAACTGTTTTATGTGCAGTCCACTTAAATTTGATAAGATAACTAAATTTATTTGTGTTGGGACAAAAATGCTGGGTTTTACACAATCGATTTGTATAAGGACAACATGAAGGAAATAAGATAACAAATTATTTATTTATTTTATTATTATTATTATTTTTACAAATTTAAGTGGATTGAAGATAAAACAATTAAGTTGTCCCAAAAAACTCAAGAATTGTTTTGTTTCAGCTTATTTTAAATAAGTAGTTTGAGCAAACAGCAAACATTTGAGTGTCTAGACTATAACAAAAAATCTACTTTTACTCATTCATTTATTTTCTTTTCAGCTTAGTCCCTTTATTAATCTGTGGTCACCACAGTGGAATGAACTGCCAACTAATCTAGCATATATTTTACGCAGCGGATGCCCTTCCAGCTGCAACCCATCTTTGGGAAACATCCATACACACTCATACACTACGGACAATTTAGCCTACCCAGTTCACCTGTACCACATGTCTTTGGACTGTAAGGGAAACCGGAGCACCCAGAAGAAAACCCACATGAATGCAGGGAGAACATGCAAACTTCACACAGAAACACCAACTGACCCAACCGAGGCTCGAACCAGCGACCTTCTTGCTGTAAGACGAAAGCAATACCTACTGCACCACCGTGTTGCAATTACATTTTACTTACTATTAATTTTTTTTTTACAGTTTAGTAAATGATAAACTAACCCTACAGACCACAATGGACAACATCTGCTACATAAATCAATGTACTGTAGGCTCTGATTGATGCATCAATCAATACCGCCATACAATTAATGTTTCAGGATCAATCCTGACGCGTGACAAATTGAGAGTGTGATCAATGAGTCAGACCTATCAGTTTAGTCAAGGTTATTTTAGGCACTGCAATGCCTTTACAGTAATGTGTCAATGCCACATTTACAGTTAAACAATAACATTTAGCATTAATCGAAAATAATGGACAGAACAGAATGATTCAATCGAATAATCTCAACTGATCTGATTTGTTGACATGAAAATAAGGCATTCAATTGCATACCTCCAATGTGTTTGTGGGCATCCTTCTCTTGTATTCCAGCAAAAATGTTGGCAAGGCTTGACTTCCCCACGCCATGATCACCTAACAAAACCACACGGTAAAGACACTCGGATCCTGAGCTGTCCGATTCGGAGTCTGAGGACCAGTTGGCCCGTGAGTGGATGCTCTTGTCTCCAGGGTGGTACGAGGCAGACTGGGCGAGCGGAGGGTGATAGGGGTCAGTCGAGGGGTCTCTGTCTCCTCGTCCCGCTTGACGAGAGGAGGGGATGGGGGTGCTTGCTCGTCTCCTCAGCGGCTCCTTTCCCTCCTTCTGTGTGTTGAGTGTCATCTTATAAACATAGGTATGCCTGGACAGAAAAAAAAAAGAGAAATGACTGTGACAGGAAAACAAATATTAAATACTTTGCCACAGTTACAATGTGGTTAATGTAATGCTGCTGTGACATGTTTTTTAAAATTAATTTCTGTCAAATTATTGTTTTGTAAATATCTTAAAACATTGATAATCACTTTAAAAAATAAATTAAGCTTTAGATTTTTGATAAATAAAAGTATTTTAAACTGTATTTATTTCACTATGTGAAATATGAAGAAATACTTCACAATTTTACAGATTTTATATTATTTTATTCAAATAAATGTTCAGTTTGTTCAATTTGAAGCAATTGTTCATCTTAATTAAATAATGTCTGTATAAATTGAGGTATGAGCAAACTTTGGACTAGTAGCACTTAATATTTACACATTTGTATCCAATATTTCAATATTAACATACACAAATTTGAAAAATAAAATTGAAATATTAGAAACAAAAAAATTAATATTAACAGGCAAATTTGTTTAGGTTTTAAAAATAAACCTAATATTCATATACATTGTTACAAATGTACATTTCACAGCACATTTGAGTACACTCCATTTTGAAAATTAATATTTATATCCATTTTTTCAGTGAATATAGGCAATGTATTTTTGTGCATTTGAACAAAATAGATTTATTAAACATATATTTATTAGAATAATATTTTAGTCACCAAACATATTTAGAAATGGAAATATAATACAATTAAATTCAAGCAAAAATACAACCTAAAAAATTTCAACTAAATTTGACTTTTTTTTTTTTGCTTCCCTTGATTTTTCCTCTTTTTTATTGTATGTTATATTTTTCTATAACAAACTAGTTTTTGGACCGTAATCGGAAGTTATTTTGTTAGATAAGCTCCAGATTTGGCTTCAGTACTGACTAATCTAATGTATATGCACAAATAAAATATTGTGTAACTTTGTTTTACAAATTTGAATTTAAAAGATTGATTTGTGAGGGGTGTACTTATATATGCTGAGCACTGTATATACATACAGACATTAGTATAAAGTCTAACAAAAATAAATATTCATAAGTAAACATATAACTTATAATCCTTGGCAAAAAAGCAAAAACAATTGAACTCTTATGATTATTAAATTAGACATCAATTATTAGAATGTCAATGCATTAAACCAACATTTGTGTACACTTTTAGTCAATGTCAAACACCATTAAAAACTTCTTTATATTAATCTTCCATTAAATAGGCTCAGATTTAACTTTAATTAAATCAAAAGTTGTATTTTATTGTTTAAATGAACATCAACTAACTTATAATTTAGTATTACTGAATCATTAAACTTATTTTACCTCAACTACATCTGTTAACAAACGTAACCTCACTGTAAAGTGTTCTACAAACATTTTACTTGCAAGATATAGTGATTTTGTCCACTTCTTCAAAAGTTAACGCATTTAAATTGCCTTAACTCAACAGCAGTACTTTTGACAGCTTCCCCTGTGACATATAGCACCGGAGTAGTTTTAATACATGCATTAATAAACACTCCATGAGACAAACTCCATAACAAAAGCAGAAATCTATACTCACAACCATCCCCGTAAAAGTTCAAGTCCACAGAAAACACTTTAAAGCTGCAGTTTGGTGAATCAATCAGTTCGCGCGCAGTGGAGTTTGACTCGCCGGCTAAAGAGAAACGCTACACCGCTGCAGTCAAGACAACAGCCCGCTGAGCTCCACAACGCGTTTAAAAATTAAAGAGCGGAATGAAGCTTTTCTCTAATTCTCTCTCGCTGTCTGTCACAGCCTCCTCTCACCCGCATGACCTCTCACTCACCTTTATCTCGCCACAACAACTTTTAGGGCTCCAGAGCGCGTCTCTCCTCAGTTCATCCTCCCACTTTGCCCTCAGAGAGGCTGCGGCGTGAAGTTGCATGTATCGTGTCTTTGTGATTAAACACAGGTGGGCTCCTGTTGCCAACTCAGCTCGAGCTCTGTGCGGAGAAACGCGTCTTCTGTTTATATTACTCACATGGTCCCATAAACACAGCTCAACAAACGGGCCCTCGACTGTAAAGTCTCGTGGGTCCCCGCCGAGCGTCTCTCAGCATCATCCAGGGCCACGAAATGTTATAATGTGTGTTTTTAGCACCGTCCCACTGCATCTCCATGACGTCGAGGTCCTGTCATTTCCTGCTTTTGAAGCTGAGCTGAGATATCATACGTTATCAGGAGGTTCTCGTTAGTGTAATGGCTTTGATTTTGAAAACGCATCTTGATTTAATGATGTCATCACTGGGAAGTCATGCAACGAGGAACCACACACATTGCATTTATTTTTCTTTAGAGACAAACATCCACAGCTGTTTCTTTTTTGGTGCTTATGCAATTGGATGATGACTGTTGTTGGAGTTTTATTGCTTGGTATTTTTGTTTTGGTTTCTAAAACAATTCATTGGGAAAAGCATTGCAGTGTTTGAATGCACATGGAAATGAAGACAGTAAAATAAAGATGCAAGATTATTTTCTGCTTAGATCTTCTTCTTTTTTTTTACCAGGAATTTTTAATTCTCTGAGGCTCTGCTGAATCTTTTCCAACTGAAACAACAAAAGTAATCAAAGCAGTCGCCTGTTCACTGGGGTGCTGAAATCCATAAGTGTGTTTACAGAGCAAGCCTTGTTCCCACACTTTGGTCAATTGCATCAATGTCGCCTTACTACTGTTTCAAGATTTGCAAAGTGGCTTTGAAATGCGCCATTTGCTAGATAAATAAAGTCATATATAGTCATAAAATGAAGCACTTGAGTTCTTTGAGGATTGACACTTGAAGTGTCATTAACTGCAATAACATTTGCTTGCTGAATGGTACCAAACTCCAACAGCATGTTTTTTCCGACATGGGAACATTTACATTTGCATTTTCTCATATAGCAAGTTTTTTTTTCCAGAGTGACTTACAAGTGAGCATAAAAGATGCTCTTAAAATCAACAGAGAGTTGCAGTATTGACAAATAATTTTTTTGAAAGAACAGTGTGTCCAACAGGTGGTTTGTCAAGCCCACTTACCTACGTAGAGCACACTCAAAATTACACAATGTTTTACAAAGATTTTGGAGTGCTTATAAGAAGCTGTCTGGTGCATATGGAGAGGAAGAGCAAAAGTCTTCTACGGGTGGTTAACAAAGATAGATACAATTAGCATCCTCTGCAAAAATTCAGGCTGCATATGCAATTTTATGTACTTTGCAAACAATAACTAATAACTAAGTTTAGACATAATCAGATTATTTGCTTTAATCTGAATAAGACAACAATATGATTAAGGTATTTACGAGTTGCTGTTTGAATGTTCTTTTCATGATCCCGTTTTACATGTTACAGCACATAATTCGGTTGAAGTCATTTCGTCACCACGGCTATCCACATTTCCTCCAAGTTTCATGTAACTTTGGGTGTTTAATTTTTAATGTGTTGACTTTAACTGCAGTTTGGCACTTTCACCTTTATTCAGGAACATTTCATGCATGCTCCCTGTAACAAAAGAGATATTGGATGTGAGTATGAATTGCTGGAAGAGTGTTGTTTTAATAGAATTTTATACTGCATGCTGTATGAGAAAATACTCAAAGTATTTTGCAATGCAGGTGTCTGTAGTCCTTCACTGAAATGGTAAGTGCAGAGAATAGTGCCAAACAGCCCAGTGTGTATAGACTATCCTTTCGCAAAATGCGGTGAAAATCCTACACATTGATAATAGTTTCATAGAGCTGTTTACACGTCTTTGCTGCACTTCAATAATATGACTAAAATCGGCATACTCCACATGTCTTAATACGATTTCTGTTTAGTTCAATATAGACCTTAATTGGATTAGATCAATCAAAAATTCCTGTTTACAGACTCTTAATCAGAGTATTGTCTTAATCTAATTAAAATCGGATTATTGGTGTCCATGTAAACATACTTAATAAAATATACAGTGAGCGAGGCCATGACCTACAGTATACTTAAAAAATGTCATCAAAATTGTACAATTTCATCCAAAAAATACAACCGAAAAATTCAAATCAATGTGTCGATACCGATTTATAATTTTTTAAATTAAAAACCTTCAAGTATCAACATCATCAGTCTTTAAAGGTTCAAGACACCATCTTTAAAAAAAAAAAAAAATCTTTAACAGATTTGTGTGTGTTGAGCATCAGTTAACAAGACAACGTTAACACCTGTCAGCTTTAATTGTGGGGAAAACTGGATAATTTTGAGCTAATTTCATCTTCCTGGTTTAAAATAATTTTTGGGGTGGGATCAAAATCGGTGACATAGCATGTATCTGCTAGTGAAGTGATGACGCGTCGGTTTGTCATTATTACTCATAGCACAGTTTTCTTATCCCATGAGAAGACCCAGCTTCTTAGTTATTCATAAGTGCATGTGCTTTCCGAAAGCAAAACAGACCTGCCAAGCTGTGAGACCCAATGACAGGGTAAGACCACGTCCACGTATGGCACGGGTTGTATGTTTGTTTCCGTGATCCACGGGGTTTGTTGCATGTTTTTCCCTGTGATGCTGTCCCGGCCGATACAGCAAATCTGTTGGTTTGCATCAAGGATTTTTGTCAAGAGATCTGTACGAGAAATGGAGAATTTATGACTTGAGTTCGTTATCATTCAGACATCGCCTAAATCCGTGCTGCAGTGTTTGCCTATGTTTAAAACCTCCAGATTACCAGCAGGGCTAATAGTTGAAATAGATAAAGAGACCTGTTGCACTGCTATCCACTGTGTCTGCAATCAGAACTGGGTATTGAGGAGGACAGAAGTCCTTATAGAGTTATAGAGTTTAAACCCGATTGTCTTTATAATGATATAACAAATTGTGGTTATCTGTACATGAAATTATGAATAACAAAGATACCAGGGCATTAAATTACTTACTCTTTATTTCTTTGCATTTTAACTTCGTAAACTGTAAACTCACGGGTCTCCTCACAGATTGTTTCTCATTTTGTGAGCCACCTGACAGTTGTTTTCCCCTATCTTTTTCCCCTGCTCTGTCGGCCATGCCCGTTTCTACCTCTGCTGGCAGCGCTCCACGCCCAACATGAAACATTTTTTGAAAAAATGAGGGTAGACTTGAACTGAAAGAGGGGGCTTTCATGACTCTTTAAACAATCAGGAGGAAAATTCTTTTTAAAATTGTAAAAGTTTGTGCCCCAGCGAGATTATTCTATATAATATAAAATGTCTGATTTTTAAACATGTAATGCAAAATGAACATGGTCATGAAACATCCACAGCTTAGTTTATGTGGCACTAAAATACACACAGTATGCATTAGCATGTCTGAAGACACATTAGTAAATCATGGTAGCTACACTAAAGTGATTGTGCTTATAGAAATGAAAGTGAGGATCAAGCCAATAAAACAAACTGAAAGCATAAACAGATAAAGAAAAGATGATCTATAAAATTGTTTGACTCAGTAAAATGATTTAATGTAGTGGCTCCATTGATTTCCATCTGTAATATATAGCAGCTGAAGGAAAGACTCAAAAAGGTAATGCGTTCAGCAAAGGGCTACACGGGGAGTAAATCCTCATGAGGTATATTGAGATGGACGTCCATATCTGGAGTACACCTAAAATACAGACATCACAGTGACAGTTACTGTTTACAGCTTATACAACCTTAAAGGGACAGTTCAACCAAAAATGTAAGTTCTGTCATCACTTATTTATCCTCATATTCTTAAAAAACAGAAGTGGGCATTCTGAAGAACTTGTTCTGCCATTTTATGGAGTATAAATTACATAAGAACTCTATGATTTTTATTAAGTACATGCACTTAATATCTAGATACATCCCTAACAATGTCAGAACAGTTAGGTTTAGACAATCTATTACATAGATTTGTACTTGAGTAAAAAGAATGCAAAATAAACCCATGTTGTTACCTTATATAACCCAGTACTTAAAGTAGTCTAAGGACACAAATACTAAAATAAAGTACAACTACATTTTACATATGCACAGTGTATTAAAGTATGTTAGTTAGTTACATAATAATAATAATCTAACTTGCACATTTAAGGTAATGTAATCTGACAAAAAATGATTTTTGACCTTACATATTAAATAAGTTTGATAATATTGGCCCAAATACAAAGAGAAAGAATCAAGAATCAATAATTTTATAGAAAAAATTCAATAAAATCACTAATTGATTTAAATATAAATAGTTTTACAAGTCAATAATTTTATTGAAAAATAAAAATCCAAATATTAATAAACTAAAACACCTAAATTAATAAATGTTAACTGATGATTCAACTTTTGTTAACTAAATGTCATGTTACCAAAAATAATTTAGATTTGGTGTAAACTGTGAACAATATGCAAATGGGATGTTAAATATTTGACGTTAACATAAAATGAAATGAAATCAAGGTAAACATTTTAGACATATTACACAAATAACCATGAATAAAATCATGTTAGTGTGTATTAATATTAAATGGTCTTGCAGGTAATATTAAAAGTCTTGCAGGTTTTAAAAATTTAAGTTAAGATTTTTAGAATTCTTAAATGGTGAATGCCTCAAGATATGATGAATAATTTGCTTTTTGTATTTTACAATAAAATAACTGTAAGCCATAATATCTAAAGGTATTCAGTAAGACCAGAGGTGGCCAAACTTGGTCATGGTGGGCTGGTGTCCCACAAAGTTTTGCTCCAACTTACTTCAACACACCTGCAAGTAAGTATACCAAGTAAAAACTTGATTATCTTATTTAGGCATGTCTAGTTGAGGTTGGAGCTAAACTCTGCAGTACACCGGCCCTCCAGGACAGAGTTTGGGCACACCTGAGTTAGATAATATATAGTATTAAAGCAAAATACAATCTAATTACTACTACTAGTACTTTTGTTATTGTTTTACATGTATTCACTTGTATCAGTGCATCAGTTAGGCCCCAGCACTATATAGCTTTGGAAAAAAAAAAGATTTCTCTGGATTTATTAGGTATGGCTTTAAGAAAAATGCTAATATTTATTTTTTTATAAAGGTCTGATAACATTTCTTCCACATTTAAAAAAAAAAATTTCATTTAGAGATTTCTGAATTTTTTTAATTGGTGATATGTATTTTTTGATTTGTTGTGAGTGAAAATCAATCATGAATTCCTAACTACTCTAAGGATGAAAGAGTTGTATTGTGTTAGACACGCAACATTTTATAAAATGAACATTATATGTATAAACATTATATAAAATGCCCTAAATGACATCAAATTTTTTTGAATTTGAAAGAAATATCAACTGTGTTTTCAAAATTAAAACAACAAAAATTATGTTTTATCCAAACACGCAAGTAAATTGCCAGTGATATACTGTATATGGGCAGCTAGAATAAAAGCAGTTTTTGATTTTTCAAACACCATTTTAAGGTCAAAATTATTAGCCTCTTTAAGCTATATATTTTTTCGATAGTCTACAGAACAAACCATCATTATACAATAACTTTCCAAATTACCCTAACCTGCCTAGTTAACCTAATTAACCTAGTTAAGCCTTTAAATTTAACAATGAGCTGTATAGAAGTGTCTTATATGTCTTTTGTTATATATATGAATATATATTTATGGCCATAAACTTGTTCACCACAGCCTGAGACAGTTTGTTTAAGACAGGAAACATGAGAAGTTTCTCTGCTGGGGCTCTGGACATCTGCAGATACTAAAGCCATGTCTCTGTCACGAGCAGAGCAGGAAATCCCAGATCTGTTTATCATTATCTCCATTTAATGGAAACCTTTATAATTTGGTGCTCAGTGTGACATGATATGCGAACACGCTAAATGTTTTTGCTTGTTTTCCATGTTCTTTGTCCCCAAGGCCAAAACACTTAAGGACCAAAAGTCCATATGAATAAATCTTAACTGTAACAACTCCCATGGGTGGCAAGAGGTCGTGCTTGCACTCGCACGGCCTTGGAATAAAGTGTCTGATTGTTTTGGAGATATGACCGATTGTCATGGAGAGGAAAATGACATGTTGTTTTGGAACAGACTGTTGGGAAATGTGAAACCTTCATTAACCTTTCATGGGCGCCAGGGATTCCATGAATGTACAGCATTCTCTTGTTCTTCATTTATCTTTAAGATGGCCTTTAGAGTCTTTTCCAAAACTGTGTAATATAACACCATCTTCATCAGCCCAATCCTTTTTCCAAACCAAGCCTTTGTTTCAGTGTAGATAAGGTACCTCTTCCTCCAGCTTATCTGATTTTCAATGTCAGATCTCCAATAAAGCTACTTGGGTTAATGAAAGTGTTGCTCAAAAAAAAAAAAAGAAAAGAAATAAGATAAAACAAATAATTAAAATAAACCATTTATAAAATTCTTAACCATTATCAAACAAATGAAGCTTGGTTCCCTATTTTTGGAACACCAAGGATATAAAAAGTGTATATTTAAACATGATTTAGAAGTGCAAAATGTACTTTAAAATGACATTAAATATTTATCTAAATAATTATTTTATCACCTTATAATTGTGTGATATATACTGTATTACATAATTGTACCAAAAACTTTTTACAGCCCAGGCTCACTGAAAATACGTGCCTCAGCATACTTTTTTCAAAATGTAAAATACATTACCCTGGGTACGTTTCATTGTGCATTTCTAATGACAAATCCTCTAGAGGGTGCTGTTAATTTTTTTCTAAAATCTAAAATATGTTACTAAGCAGTCCCTCCAGGATTTCGCAGGACTTTTTTTTCTAAAATGACTGATTTTGCTGCAACATTTTTTAAAATTTGTGGCAAAATTTTGTGTTGATTTGCTGTAAAACAATTATACCTCAGACAAAAGTCTTTACTATATTAATTTTTAATTACTCCTAGACCCAAACAGTGGGTTCTGTGACTTAAATTTTAAAGGGCCACGAAACACCAAAACACATTTTTTGAGCTGTTGACAGTCGTATATGTGTCCCACACTGCTAGAAACACTATTAGGACACCTATATTTCACTAAAAAGTGTAAATAGTTTTTTTTTTTGTGTTATTTCAAGCAAATTCGTACTTCTGGTTTGAAACTAATTTTTGAAGCTGCGTCACGGCCATGACATAATAGCCTGTATTCCAGCGTGCAGACTGGACTTCTGTACAAGAGTGTGTCTTATTACGTCTTACAGTGTGTTGCATTAATGCATGAGTAAAGCTTGGTTCGAATCAATCAGTGCACTACTGTTTAACTTCATTATTATTCATTACTGTCTCAGTGTTTAGACGACAGAGACGCCACGTTGTGTTGGCAAAACCAGCGTGAAGTGTTGCTTTTTTAGTTTGCTGCAGTTAAGTTTTGTTTTCATTTTCTCTCTGTGAGAGTGCAGCTGGACTCACGTGTGGATTAACAGTGTACGCGACGCGCGACAACAATAACTTGCGTGTCTAAGGAGGAACATTGTTTACCTGAGAGCTGTTCTCATCTGCAAACGCTGAGATCCGGATTCGCTTGTAGTCTCCTCTTAATGAAGATTTGGTAAGTGAGCAACCAGTGCTCTTTGTTTATTCAGTTTGTTCATATCGAACAAACATAGAAATCGTATCGAACAAACTATTGCACCGAGTGTAAACATGTTAGCACTACAACCAAACTATAACCTCATGTAGGATTTTCACCGCATTTTGTGAACGGAATAACACATGCGGCTTTCTGACACTACCTGCCGTGTGCATCTAAGTTTCCGGGAAATGCTGATTTTTTTTTTTTCTCTCATTCGCCGTGCGGTATCAAACTACATGAAAAATACACGCTTAGAGCAGATCCTCGAATCAAATATCTCGTTTGTCGTGAGGGACATGAATGAATTCCCTGAATGAAAGAGCCAAACTGCAGTTAAAGTCCACCATTTAGTAATTTGGCAAATAATTCGACCACAGATGTCCATGTAAACACAGTCACTTTGTCCCCTGTTGGGTGTGTGTTTTGACTCTGAAATTCAGAGCGCCCAAATAGACACTCCCACACCATGCCCCTTTTCTTCCTCCGACACTCCCCCGTAAACAGAGCTGGACACGCCCACTTTTCTGACTTTTTCGAAAGTAGAGGTGTGAAAACACCCTGCTGAAATGAGGAGGTTTCATGGACCTTTAAGGATACTGTGTGTTCAAAACAAATCTTGTAACCATATATAATTTATGTGTGCACAACAGCTTAAAGATTAAAATCCACTAAATCATTGCACAGGTATTCTCTCATGAAGGCCATCCCAGGAAAAAAATTTGTGCTGTTGTTTTTCCATAGTTGAAGTCAAAATTATTCTTCCTCCTAAGATTTTTTTTTTCTTTTTTAAATATTTCCCAAATTATGTTTAACAGAGCAAACAACTTTTCACAGTATTTCCTATAATATGTTTCTTCTGGAGAAATTTTTAATTAAACTTATTTGTTAAATTTTAGCTACAATACAATTACATTAAAAAAAAAAACATTTTAAGGTCAATATTATTTGCCCCTTAAGCAATATTTATTTTTTCAACTGTCCACAGAACAAACCAGCATTATATAATGACTTGTCTAATTACTTTAACTTTCCTAATTAAACTAGTTAAGTTCTTAAATGTCACTTTAAACAGAATAACAGTATCTTTAAGCTGAACACTATGCTTTCTGCTCTTGTTAGTGTGTGTGCCGTGAAAGAGGCTTGACACAATGCCTGTGTTATGTGCTGTGCCCGCAACTAATATTTATTTAACTAATTTCACTCATCTCATGTTTTCACAGTCTTTCGAAGTAATTTTTGTAGGTGAATTTAAATTTATATGTTTACTCATATTTAAAGTGCGCTGTCTACTTCATCTGGTTAAATGCTGAGTTACAGATCAGCGTAAACATATATACTGCCACCTAAAATCATGATGTTTGTAAAATCATGGCTTGGCAAGGGTTGTTGGCATCCACATGGCCTTTGTTTTGGGTGAATCAGTGTCATGATGACGCCATAAAAAGCTTCTAGACCCCGAATTTGCGAGAAATGCTTAATTTTGCTTGATTAATTTAGCTATCAAAAAATCGGGAAATCCTGGAGGGATTGACTTAGGGTTTCCCAACCCTGTTCTTGGAGGCACACCAACAGTACATATTTTGGACGTCGCCTTTATCTGACTCATTAACTTCAGGTTTTGGAGTCTCTTCTTATTGTCTGATGAGTTTATTGAGGTGTGTTTGATTAGGAAGTGGTGGAAAATGTGTACTGTTGGTGTGCCTTTACGAACAGGGTTGGGAAACACAGACTTGGGGTACACTTTGTTCTACATTTCAGATACATGTCTTTTTTGTACATGTCCATAAAAAGGCGGGCTTGTCAGATCACCCAGCAAAACACCTCCTAAACCCAACCAACAGTGGTTTAAAAAGCAAATATAAGAGAAATGTGCATTACGACCACATAGTTTACCTTGAATTTACATTGTTTTTATCTCTTTTGTTCACAACATCAGAATTGTTGTCCAGATGGAGATTGATAGGTGATTACAAAAAAAAGGTCTTTTCTGGTATTTGTTTAGTGTTGTGCAAAAGCTTTTTTTAAATAATATTATACCTCTGTGAATATAAATAGTGTAAAAAAGAACAAAACATATTGCCCTATAGCATAATTTTACCTAGAAACTGTAGTCAAACGTATGTCTAAGCATCTTTTTGCGGTTTCACAAAAATATAAGCTGAAGCATGTATTTCCGATGAGCCTGTGTTGCAGAAATACTTTGGAAGCCAATAGTAAACACAAAACATCCATGGAACAAGTGGAGGGTGAGTAAATTATGACAGTATTTTCATTTTTTTGTTTGCATGAACAATCCCATTAAGTCACAGTGTGTTTTATTTAGACCTGTGGCAACAAAATATCAGTATAAAATATCACAATATCACACAATTGACAATTAAATGCCTTGTTGTCCTGAGAACTTATGTCTTACAGAATTCCAAAGACAAGAATTAGGTGAATAAATGATGACAGAATTTATTTAATCTTTCCTTTTACAAGTCTTAATGCATAAAATGAGCCTTACTGGATGTTAAACTATCATGGGCTGTGTGCTGTCAGTGTCTTTGAGAAGGCTCTTGAAAGTGAAGTCCTCTAAGTGTTGCTGTTCTATATCTGTTTATGGGAGGGGTCGGGTCATACTAACACTGTTAGACATTTCGAGGGGTTTGTTGAACTTCCTTTCAAGTGGACAATTTTGTGAGAACTTTTCTCTGCAACTTTAACTGAAGAGCTTGCCAGTGTTCTTATGTTTCACTGAAGATGTAAGTATTTTGAGTGATAAAGAATAACTGAATAACACTTACTTATCTGATTTCAGAAAAACATCTGGAAAGATCTTTCGCTTTATGTTTGGTCTTGATAGTTGAAGCTCTTGAATACTCTTCGTTATATCTTCCTTCTTTAGCTCCAGCTCCATTATCACCTTGAGAGAAAAAAAATAAAAATAGAAATAAACACACACACACACACACACACACACACACACACACACACACACACACACACACACACACACACACACACACACACACACACACACACACATTTTAATTAATTACTAAACTAATAGACATTATTACAGCAATCAAACAAATTATGATACTACATGAGAAATCTCAGCATTTCTTCCAAGTTCTTCCATCTTCGATTCCTGATTAAACTTTAAAAAAATAATGTTATTCTGACCAATTGTAAATTTCTGAAAAAAATATATATATTAATAATAAAATAAAATGAATAAAAAAATAAAATAGAATCCTCTGAATGACATGAACAACATAGGCTCATTCTGAAAATGTATCCCTATATACATTTCTGGAGATTGCGATTTATGTAGCCAGAAGTACGTATGGCTGCATTTCACCTTTAAAACAAATGCTACGGGGCAGTATGACGATGTTGCATTTCGCGCTTACCATCTGACCGCTTAGCTCCGTATGGACAGCTTTCCTGCTGTTACCAGTTTGTCCAGTTAGCTTGCCACATACAGCGGCGAACTAGAGATACAGAGAGGAGTTGACCATGATGACGGGGTTCGAGTCTCGTGAAGAACAGTTTCAGAAAGCAGGTAAGACAAAAACAAAAGCCATAAAACAAATAAGTAAACAATAGGGTGAGAATGTGGTAAAATCTGAAAACGTGGTAAAAATCAGGCGAGGGCTTTTCTTTTCCTTGATTGCTTTTTAAAACTGTTGATTTGGTTTAGGGAAGTGGGTGTTCAGGTCAATCGGGGCTTTTGAAAACACTATTGGTTCGGTTTAGGCAAGGAGGAGATGGGGTCAGTTGATCAGTCAGTCAGTCACTTCATACAGTAAGTCAATCAGTCAGTCGAAAGTGGATTTATTTGAGAACAACAGGCGCAAATGGCACTCGTGAGAGAAATTTGAGATCTGAAAAAGCATGCACAGCAGCCTCTGGTGGATTCGCGAAAACAAAAACTGCAAAAATGTAGCTCCTGGGACGTATTTGGTGCTCTCTAGAAATGTATATTGTGGTACGTTTTCAGAATTAGCCTGGGTTGGAATGAAAATATTTTTATTTCAAAATTGGACATATAATAACATATATTTACATTTTACAAAAGAAAAATAGGTAATAAATCCAAGAAATCCACAGAATCAGAGTCAGCTGTATGTTATTATACTATAAAGAAACACTGAATATAATTAATTAAATTTAAATAAATGTTGTAATCAAAAAACAAACTTTAAAATGATTACCTTTCTGTGCAGACTAATCTGTTCTTTCATTTTGTAGTTCTGTGAGGTCATTAGTTTGACAATAGGAGGGATGTGGGATACATGTTTCTGAAAATCAAACCACAAAGACAAGTTTTATAATGCTCTAACAAGAATTGTCTTCATATAAAATACAGTAGATATAAAAACTGATCTTTTTACCTCAGCAATGGCTGACAGCACTTCCTGTTCTCTTTGCTTTTGGCATCTCTCCAAACTTTCCATCTCTTTCTTAAACAGTAGAGTCACATCCTCTTGCTCATTCTGACAATCACAGAGGAAATGTATATTAAAATGTTCTTAAACACTGAGGAGTACTTATGAGATCTGGGACCGCATGTTTTTTAATAAATAAAGGATTTTCCTGGATTTCATTTCGATTACTTTTTAGTCTTCACTCATCAGTTGACATCAGTTCATTCAGAAACTAATTCCTTGTTATATTTTACCTGCTGCAGCTTTTTCAGTTGATCCAGCTTTCTTTCCATGTCTGCAATCTGCAAGACCTTGACTGGGAACTCCATATCTCTGTATGTTTTCAGGAAACGGAGCTCCTTCTGAGCTTTCAGCACCTCTGCTTTTACAACATCCAACTGCTTTTGCAAACCTGCACTTATAAGAGTAGTCAGTTGAAATTTGATGATGCAGTTTGTGTTTGCTTCACCATTGCAGCTGCTACACTATAAGGCTAAAATGTGTAAACCCAATTATAAACTGTAGAAACAGAGCCAATATAATAATGGAACAGAAGAGGGCCTCGTTCTACAGGAAATGTTTCTGTGTGCTAGATTTTATGTGCCTCTGCTTGTAATGTAACATTGAAATGTTTGGGGGCAGAAGGATTTTCCCCCAAAAGAAAATAATACTTTTATTCAACAATGATTCATAAATTATTAAGAAATGTTTTTGTTGTTTTTTTATTCATATATCAAATAATTCTAAAACATTTCATAGCTTGAACAAAAACATTAAGCATTTGCTGTGCTTTCATTTGGAGGAATAAACAGGAATAAACAACATTTTTTAAATGTATAAAAAGATAATACTGTTTTTTCAAATGTAACAATACACGTTAAAATTGCATGTACTGTATTAAAATAAATGTAGCCAGCATATTAATTAGAAAGTACTTTCTGATTACTTTTAGTCATGCAGTGTATAAACCAGGTAGTAAAAAAGTAATAATGTAAATAGTTAAACATAACTGATGAAGTATATACCACTAACCACTGAGATGTGTGTGTGACGCTTCCTCTGTAGCAATCAGGTCTGCTTTGGCACTTTTAATAAGACTGTCATCCCATCGTTTCAAAGCTGTCATTGATCTCTAGAAAGAACAGAAGAGTTAAAAGTTAAATTTGGCAATTAATTCTTACATCATTTACTCACCCTAACTGTTCCAAACCTGCATGACGTTTATTCATCTTCAGAACACAAAATTAGCAATTGAATAAAATCTGCTTTGAAATAATGTTCACCCAAAATGTTTGATGTTCAAACATTTCAAAACCAAAAAAGTGATTAGATTCGAGTTTTATGAAGAGATGCAAATGTTGTGAGAGTGCTAGAAAAAATAAAAATAAAACAAGTACTTTTTTTAGTAAAAGGTTTTAATTTTCATATACTCTATCATATATTTCAGATATCCAACATACATTCATTCATGTTGTTGATGGAAATCACACATGAACATACTTTTTTTTCCTTTAGAATCTTGTATCCTTGCATTTAATAAATGAACAACAAGCCAACCAAGACCCAAATAAATAATAACTTAAATGTGGTGTGTGTTTTTTAAGATGCAAGAACATAAAAAAATATGAGTACACTGAAGCACATTAAAGATTTGCATTAGAGCTGCACAATACTGGAAAAATAGGACATTGCGATATTTTGTTTTTCTGCTATAAATATTGAAATATATAAACAATTTCACCAGAAGTTTTTTTTTTTATTTAGATCGATTGGACTGATTCTGTAGAGAAGTGAATGGTTCATAGAAATCTCAAAAATTAACTCATTACACCAAGGACAACAGTGAAATAAACAGTGTTTTATGATTTTTTGGCGGAATCAAATAGTATTCAGGTTCAGAATTTCAATAATCAAATGTAAAATATATGAATAATTCAAAATTCATTCATTCATTTTCTTTTTGGCTTAATCCCTCTATTAATCAGCAATCGCAAAATGAACCGCCAACTTATCCAGGATAAGTTTTACGCAGCAGATACCATTTCAGCTGCAACCCATCACTGGGAAACATCCATACACACTCATTCACACAAATACACTACTGACAATTTAGCTCACCCATTTCACCTCTAGCACATGTCTTTGGACTGTGGGGGAAACCGGAGCACCCGGAGGAAACCCACATGATCATGGGGAGAACATGCAAACTCCAAATGCCAACTGACCCAGCTAAGGCTCGAACCAATGACTTTCTTGCGGTGAGGCAATCATGCTACCCATTGCGCCACTGGGAAGCCCCTTTACTGTATAAATAATTCAAAATTATTCTTTACTAAAGTTACAAATGGTCAAATTTCTTGTGCCCGAACACTTTTGATTAAACTGAGCACAATTTTGGTTAAATCTGCATTAACTACACAATTACCATGTGTCCTAAATGGTTTCTCCTGGTTAACCATAATCATAACTGAACATTGCAGATCCTGCGATGTGACTATTGCGGATGTGCACATTGCGATATCGATGCTAAAATGATATATTGTGCAGCTCTAAGTTGCATCAAAATAAGATGAATGTGTCATAATTCTCTCATGTTGGAAATCCATATCAAAGTTGTTTTTTTAATCTGTGGCACACAAAACATTTACAATGCTTCATAATCTTAGGATGAAACCACTGGGGTTGAATGGATAGATATCTTTAAATTGGGAGGTGCAGAAATCTCTCAGATTTGAATAAACACGGGTTTTTTGTGTTTTGATGATCAAGGGAAGTCTTAGGGTTTACAACAACATTAGAGTGCACCCTATTGTTCACTGGGATCTAAAAACTTAGCTCACCCTCATTTGTTGACTCTGGACGAGCCGTTCATTGGCTTTGGAGACTGAGTTTCTGTCTGTATCCACAATGCTTCTGGCCACCTGCAGGTTTCTCTCTTGAAGCTGTTCACAATGCTCCTCCAGATCCTTTATTGCCTCTTTCCTGGACCTGATGAGTAACTATAACAGACTGCAGCTGTTGACAAGGTATATACCAAACTACACACAAATGAACTATAAAAGTCTTCTTTATAGTACACACCATCAGGGTTTTGATACAGTCTTTCTTTTCCTGTTCAACGCTTTCTGTTTTCCTTCTTGTAAGGAGTTTGGGGAGTGTTGAGAAATCATTGTGGACAGTATTTAGAGATTTTCCTGTTTATAATAGTAGAAATTACACAATAGTGCATTAAGAATAAGATAGGTGTGCCTTAAGACAGTAGAAGCATAATTTTTATTTTAGCCATGTTTATACCTGGTTTTAAAGTTGGAGATGATCTTTTTCCTGCTTTATTAGATGATATGTCTGATTTATGAATAGGAGCTGTCCAAAGCAGGTGTTTGGAACTTGTACTTCGCTCCCATTTTCTGTAATCCTGGCATATAAGAATTTTAATTGATACAAACTGTTTAGTTAGGCTCCATTTTTAACCAAACAGAAAGCCAAACTCAAATATAAAGACTAAACAAGGTGTCCTGCAAACCTTTTTATCACAACATGCCCAAACATTTTATTAGCATTACAACATATAACATAAACCTATTTTGTCATACCACAGAATGAAGGCTCCACATATCTCGACCAATCATTATGATGTTTTCTTCACAGACTGAATGTTTTTGTCCACAAGAAAACTCACGGAGAGACCAAACAATCCCAGCATTCCGCAAATTTCATCATAGCAACCGAAAACAGACTGTGAAAAACTTTGGCTCCATCTAGTGGACACATTGAGCATGCGCGGAAATGAGGAATTTTACACTTCAATGTTCATTATTCAATTCAATTCATTTCACCTTTATTTGTATAGCGCTTTTACAATGTAAATTGCGTCAAAGCAGCTTCACATAGAAGATCATAGTAAATTGAGTTCAGTGTGGTTAATAATCACTACTGAGAGTCCAAACAGAGTCCTGTAGAGCAAATTAACGCACAGCTCATTTATTCATTTTCTTTTCGGCGTAGTCCCTTTATTAATCAGGGGTCACCACAGCAGAATGAACTGCCAACTTATCCAGCATATGTTTTACGCAACGGATGACCTTCCAGCTATAACCCATCAAAAACATCCATACACTCTCAATTCACACACATAGCCAACACTATGGACAGTGCAGCTTACCCAACTAACCTAAAGCGCATGTCTTTGGACTGTGGGGGAAACCGGTGAACCCGGAAGAAACATGCAGGGAACACGGAGAGAACATGCAAACTCCACACAGAAATGCCAAACTATTTTCATTATCTACCACAACCTATACTTTTTTAGATTAACTTCTATAATTTAATATAAATTCTATGTGATTGTATAAATCGTGTAAAACACAAGTTGTTGTTACATTTAGATGTATATTTAGGCTACAATATGAAACAAATAAAAGACCACAGGGTGTGCTTGAATACAATTTGTTTTATTCTATAAAGATCTCATCACTTTTCTTACAAATTTCAAATACAAAATAATATTTAAGGCATTTTTACACATAGAAATCAATGTTGGTCAAAATAACAAGTTTTTGAGCTGCTTACAAATCAGAGTTCTTCCACCATATATTTCTAAACATTGTGTTGTCTAAAAGTAAACAAGAACATGTCTGAAGTCATGGCATCTTTTTATTTTGACCATTTGTCATTTTATGCTTTAAATAACAGTTATGTTAAATTAAGAAGTAACATTGATTTGCATAAGTTATTCATATAAATTGCATATGTAAAATACACTTTTCAAAATACACTTTTTTTTTTTGCTGACATTCTTGAATTACAGATCAGATTATACTTTTTGTTTTATACAGGACAAGATTATACAAACATGTCGACATACAGTGGCACTGTACAATGCAAAGAGAAAAAAATACATATAAATAGATTCAAATATTCAACTTTATCATCAAAATATCAACATTAGGAAACTTTAATAGTAATAGCAGTTTATAAAACATTTGACTCTATAATAAAAGATATTAACATTACGCAATCATGTATATACAGTTGTATTCACAAACTTCTATGCACTAAAAAAAAACAGCACCAACTGAATAGTAAGCTTGTTGTTAAGGCACCATCTGATCAGATCATTTTTTGCGATCTCATAAATACCGAAATCATAAATATTTAAAAGACGTGTGTTATTGAAACATGCGTAGAGAATTGAACAGATAATCACGGTGTAGCTGCAGGTTCTTGTGGATGAGGTTTTGACTGGCAGGTGCAGTGCTGCTGATGTCATCATGCCGTGTTGTTGTTGATGTCCATGCGGCTGATGAGCTCTGTGACGAGAGCCTGAAGCGTCTCTGAACGCATTTTGCTCACTTCCAACACAGCTTCATGATTGACAGTCTCGTTGTCCTCATAGCTTTTCACCACTTTGTTAGTGATGAGGGAGAGACCGAAGACTCTTATGCCACAGTGACTGGCGACCAACACTTCCGGTGCTGTACTCATTCCTTTAAAGGTAAATTATATAGAAATGAGTTATTCAATGAATAATTGAGACAAAACAGAAATATGACTTCTTTATATACACCTTATATCTAGCATTAAAGATCAGGCCTGGTACTTTCTTGACAATCAAAAACTGTGGTAGATTCCCATTTTCTACACTCAAAAATGTTGTTTGCTGTTTATTTAAACTGTTTATTTAAAATGAGCTGAAACAACACAGTTATTGAGTTTTTTTGCAACAATTTAATTGTTTTATGTTCAATCCACTTAAATCTGTTAACTTAATTCCTTCATGTTGGCCCAACACAGATGTGTGGGACCAAGCAATTTTTACAGTGTAGTGTAATATAATAATACTTAATATATTTAATGTTTACTTTCTCCTTAAATTTTTAGTTTTGTCTTTAGTTTATTTGACAAATCTGTAAAAATTATCATAGCACATTTAGAAGTTACTTTTATATAGGCCACAAACAATGTATTGTTTTTTCCCATATAGACAGGTGTAATCAAAATTACTGGAACCCTTGTTAAATATGTGCCTGATATAAATAAACCTGTATTGTTATTTTTTATCTTTAATTTATTATTTTTTAAAATTAAATTAATAATTTCTAATTAATTAATTAAATAATTAATAATTAGAAAATAATTATTTCATTAAAATAAAACATAAAAATGACTAAGAAATTAAGTAAGAATTCTGCTAAATTCTGTACAATGCATGGCTTATTAGCTTTAGAACACTTTACTTTAAAACACTTTTATTTCCCCTAAATGATGACAGCATTTTAACTAGAATTTAAGTCAGGGGTGTCCAAACTCAGTCCTGGAGGGCCTGTGTCCTGCAAGGTTTAGTTCCAACCCCAATTAGACACACCTGAACCAGCTAACCAAGCTCTTAAGCTGTGGTCACACTGCACTTTTCTCCCCATAGACTTCCTTTCATATGCACACAAATGCGTCAGACCCCAAATGCAAGCTTATGCTACATGTTTTCGCACTGCATGGGAAAGTTCAAGCTTGGTGAACTCTGACCTGCAAAATCACATCACATGATTGCGTGAGACCCATCAAAGATCAAAACATGACCTCTCTGGACAGAAATTTAAAACATGGAACAATCGCTTGCTTTTTTAAATGGCTAATCAACTTGTTTAATCCCACTTCTTTTCACAGCACCGTACAACAGAATTTCGCACACACAAACTCTAGTGTGACCGCAGCTTTACTAGGCTTTCTAGAAACATTCTTGCAGATGTGTTGAAGCAAGTTGGAGCTAAAATCTGCAGGACACCATCCCTTCAGCACCGAGTTTGGACAACTCTGCTTTAAGTGAAAGAGTTTATGCAAATTTACATTGTAATTACATTGTAAATTTAAGCTGATCTTAAAGTGAACTTCTTGAAAAGTCTGTCCAAGGCGATTTGAAAAATATATATAATTGTATGATTATTTAAGAATGATAATGATATATATATATATATATATATATATATATATATATATATATATATATATATATATATATATATATATATATATATATATATATATAGTTATAACTATTATAATTATGTCACATTCAATCTCTTAAACTTAAAGAGATAAAACAGAATATTCTATCATCATTTACTTGTCACAAACCAGTTTGAGTTTCTTCTTCTATTCAATGCAAAAGAAGATATTTTGAAAAATGCTGAAAAACTTGGCTTGTAGAGTGTTTTCTACTTTTCCGCTTTCCAACATTTTTACAAAATAACTTATTTTATGTTCTACAGGAAAAAATCTTGCAGCTTTAAAACAACTTGAAATAGAGTAAATAATGAGTATAATTTCCATTTTTAGGTGAACTATCCCTTTACTATTAAGTTTTTATCTGCAATTCACTGAACGGCCACCAGTGATCGCTAAAATTTTCTGAATTCTACATGTAGCCCCTTCCCTGTGAACCGGATGCAGCGAACATTATTTGTTCGTATTGTGACCCATCCGCTTGTTAAGTGTGACGTCACGTGTAACGGCTTTCAAGTCCAAGTGCCGTATCAAACTGTATGGAGAGACTCAACAAAAGGTAATAATAAATGTTTACAAATCGATGTAATACTTTCGAAAATCCCAATCACAGTACATATATCCATGCCTAATATCCAATGACTAGAAATCGATTCGTTTTTTTATCCATTTCTTAAATATTGGTATCTGTGATGCAGCAAGTGCAGAGACTGTTGTGTACACCATGATTTTATATAAATTTCACTTTAATGTGTGATACGACTAAAAAGTGTTCACAAACGAGTATTTTCTCAATTTTAATGAGAAGCAGTCTAGACCCGGAAACAGCATTTCATCTGTCACCGATAGATGAAGCAGGTTCCTAGAGAAACGGAATATTAAACAGTGGACGTGGCTTGTTTTTTTCTACTGCAAGCTGATTGGATGTAGTAAAGTAGGTATTTTATTCAGAAAGATGGGACTCCTCGTCCTTACTAATTCTGTTTGTTGTCAAAACTGACATTTGGAGCCGTGTTTTAAGATATGTTAGCCATGCCCATTTCCTAAAATATACGTAATTTGACAATTTATATATATATATATATATATATATATATATATATATAAACAGGAAAAGCATTATCATATTTAAACTAAAGATTAGAAGGGCAAACTTTTTTTTATGACATACATAGATGAATTGTTCACCACAAGTCTAGCAATGTTAGCTAAGTTTTGATTTCTTGAGGAATTTAAATATTCAATTCCTAAATGAATTACTGAGACTGAAGCTTACCAACTGCATCCACTCCCAGTCTGTGCAGAAGTCGGGCTTCAGCGATGCTCTCAAAATTGGGTCCCCCCACCATACAATAGACACCCTCTTGGACATACTGAGAGACACCCATGCCCTTACAGATGTCCAGCGCCATCTTCCGCAGGCCTCTGTCGTAAACCCCAGACATTGGTGGAAATCGTGGACCAAACCTTGACAGCAACGGGTAATTGATTACATCCCTTGTACTGGTGATTGTAATGAATGAACGCTTTCCTAAATCATTTCATCGTACATTGATACTCACTTTTCATCATTAGGCCCATTGAGAGGATTCAGTCCAGCGAGTCCGGGGAAGTTAATGTGGTCACGTATGATCATAATGTCACCACAATTATAACTGTCCGCTAATGACCCCGCAGCATTAGTAACAATCAGAGTGTCGACACCTAAGAGCTTGAACACTCTTACTGGAAATGTGACCTGA